TCTGGAACTCTCTCCCTCAAAACCACCGCCTTGCCCCCTCCCTCCCCACCTTCAAATCCCACCTAAAGACCTTCCTTTTTGATTGTGCTTACGGTCACCTCCCCACTCTCCTCCTGTCTTGGCGTCAAATTCCGCCACTGTCAAGCGCTCCAGGGTGCTATCCCGCGAGAAGTGCACTATTATAAATGCAAGTTGTTGTATATGAAATCAAAGGATTGCAATAATAATAATAAAAGTGACCTGTCACTGTTATCTGAGATGAGCAGCATTGGTGTGATGAAGAGAGAGAGAAAGTGAATACCATATACTCTAAGAGTGGGTTAATCTAATCCTGCTCCTACATATAGCCAATGCTGGAAGGATTTTATCACTGTAAACACACGGCAGGATTTCTACATGAACTGGGACTGCTTAGCAGTCCAACTAGCAAGTCCATTTGAAGGAATAACTCAGCGGAAGTTTGTTCCCAATCAGTGAAACCACAAATGGTTACCACTCAATTGTATATCTGCTCTTGTTATTAACAAAATTCACACCAATATATCAAACTTCCAATTTCACAATAACTGGTGAAGTAAGGTCACTGCGTCAAATCCAGTCAAAATGCTTACAAGTAGCTATTCTCCAAATGTAACTGCATATAATTTCAGTTTTCAGACAGGTTCACAGAGTCCGCTGATCAGTCAGTGTGCTCCGAATGAGGTACAAGACATGCCTGTCTGAGGTATCACAAGGTACCCAGTGTAGTACTGGCCAGTGTGGTTATTGCAGGCACCTCCCAAAGAGGTACATTTGCTCCCTCCCAACAATTGTCCTCCGGTAACTTTGTTCTGTGACCAACACATCCGGTACTTATGGATACAGACATTGATGTGACAAATGTGTATACAGGTTTCACAATAGGATAAGAACAACAGCCAGTGTATTGTTTATGCACAAAGCACGCCCTCTCAAATGTACACTGTGTGCTGCAACAGTTAAGGGATTTTGTCAGTTTACTATAAAGCAACATAACAGCCATGCAGCAACAGCCACAAGCAAATAACTTCCTTTTTTAAATGTCTACCTGGCCATTGCAGGGTACGAGACTTGAAATATCATTGCAATATGTCTGGCTGTTCCCAAAGAGAAAATAACTAAAAAAAACTATGACTTCTTGATTCAATTCCCCAAATATCTAATTTCCTTTTGAAATTGCTGACACGATCTGTTTCCGAGGCCTCTCTGGGGAGTCTTTTTTACAGTTTCATCACTTTTCTGTTTAAAACATTTCAGTGAGACTGGTGAATATGTGGAATAAGTGTGTTGGTTTGTCTTGTGCCTTCTAAGCTTGAATTCACGTTCTCTGTTCTAAATTGTGTGACTACGTTCTAAATTATAGACCTAATACCTAGAACCAGACAGCAGTGAATCATCCTTTTATGTATTCAGGATCTGATACTGAGATACAAATGAGCTGTGTGCAGTTCTAGATAGAAGTAGCAGCTTGGCTCTACCTGGGTTCATTCTGGTAACTAATGAACGTCTCTGGTTGCTGTCATGTTCTTTGGAAGATTGAAATTGAGAACCACTGAATGAAGTACATTCCTGATCTGTGCAGCGAATATCAACCCAACTTCGACTATCCCCAGCCATGATGCATATATTTCTAGCTTCAGAAAATCTTTGTTTAAAAAGTAGAAGGAATTCTGAATAAGCTCTAAATAAATTAAATTATTATTCTAAATTAAAATATGTGAAAAGGATGCACCAGTAAAATTAACTGTATGGTTTCATCAAGGCCCCACCTGCCTGAGCTGCGGGGCCAGCGCGTGATTCACCACCGCGGCCATCGCTGACTCTCCAGGTCAACAGCCAACCAGAGCCCGGCTGCCGAGTAACGTCACATCCATCCGCCACCTTTGAATCTCTCAGCCTGGATTGACTATAACATTGTCCCCTCTCCCCCTCTCCCCCTGTGGCTAACCGTGCCTCGCTGAACCCCCACCCCCGCCGCTTGCTTTTAGTCTCGGCTTGCGCATATTGGCTGCCGCCACCAACCCGAGCTGCTTTCCCATATTGTCCCAACCCCTGTCCTCTACTCTGACTTACTCCCGCTCAGTCCGCCTCTCCCACCGCCCTCCCCGACTCCTATCCCTGCTTGACCATCCCACTGCCTCTCTCTGCTCCAGCCTGCGAATCCTCCATCGGGCCAACCGTGGGAATTGCCGCTGGCTGTCCAGCAGCCACCCTGCCTGCCCCATCCCCCATTTTCGGTGCAAGATTCATCGATCCCCGACCAAGCGGGCTAACCTCTCCTCCCTGATCCACATCCCCACCCTGCCTGTCAGTCCCCCCACTCCCCTGCCTCACCCCCCACTTTTCCCCACCAACTATCCATTCTGCAGCGGTCTACAAAACATCCGTTCCCTCTCCAACAAAACACACACCATCCAAGACCTCATCGTCGATGACCACATCGACATTCTCGCCCTCACTGAAACCTATATCACTCCAGGCAACACCTTCCTCCTGATAGAGGACACACCACCCGGCTACACCTTCCATCCCACCCCACGACCTAACCGCCGTGGTAGCTCTCATCTCCCGGTCCCCGCTTGGCCTATCCCCTTATTCCTCTGGAACTTTCCCTCCTTTGAGCAATGTACCCTTTATCATCCCACCAACCTTTTCCTCAAAATTCTCCTTATCAACTGCCCCCCAAGCCCTCCCCCATCTTTATCCCCGACATCTCCACCCTCCTATCTTCCCTCTGCTCTGAATGCCTCCTCATCCTTGGCAATTTCAACCTTCACTTCACTCGCTCCTGCTCTACCTCTGCTGACTTTTCCTCCCTTGTCTCCTCCCTCAATCTCTCCCTCCACATCCACTCTGCCACCCCTGTCTGCGGACCCCCCCTCGACCTGGTGATTACTCGGGGACTCACCGTCTTGGACCTCACCATCATCGACAAAGCGATCTCGGACCATCACTTCATCTCTCTTAACTCCTCAATCCCTCTCCCCACTGCCACCCAACCCACCTCCATCTCATACCCCCCCTGGAAAAAATCTCCCCCCCCCCCGCCATCCCGGCTGCCTTGGAGTCATTTGAACTCCTTCTTGGGCTTCCTCCTACAATGACCTATCCTCCTCGGTCACTCTTGCACAGCTCCCTCTCCTCCATTCTCAATTCCCTTGCTCCCCACATTGCCTGAACCGTCTCCTATTCACATAAATCACCTTGGTACACCAGCCACCTCCACTCCCTTAAAGCCCAGGTGAGTTCTGCTGAGTGCACCTGTCTTAAATCAAACCTAACTGTTGATCGGCAGATTTAGCTGGACCATGTCAAATCCTACCGCTCCATCCTCGCCTCCACTAAATCGTCGTTCTACTCCGACAATCTTGGAGGCTAAGGACAACCACAGGCTCCTCTTCTCCATCACGAACCGACTCCTCCGCCCACCCTCTCACGTCTCACCCACCCTCACCTCAAATGCCAAATGTGAGGCGATGCTGGACTTCCTCGAATCCAAGGTCAAGGGAATCCGCTCAGCTGCCTCTGCCACTGCATCTGCTACCCACTCCCCATCTCATCCTCCCAATACAGCCCCTACCCATCCCTCTCTCCACACCTTTGAACCTGTCTCCCCCTCCTCTCTCACCACCACCACAACCCGTATGAAACCTACCACCTGCTCCCTCGACCCCATCCCTAGACCCCTCCTTACCTCCCAGCTCCACCTCCTTGCCCCTCTACTCACTGACATCGTAAACCTCTCCCTGTCCTCTGGTACTGTTCCCACCCTATTAAAAACTACTGTCATCGCTCCTATCCTTAAAAAACCCGCCCTGGACCCTTCTCTACTCTTAACTACTGCCCTCTCCAATCTCTCCTTCCTCTCCAAGGTCCTGGAACAAGTTGTTGCTTCGCTCCTTCTTCTCTTGCCACTTACTTCATGAACCCCTCCAATCGGGTTTCCGTGCCACCCACAGCACAGGAACAGCCCTTGTCAAAGTGACAAATGACATTCTGTCCATCTGCGACCAGGGCTCCCTCTGCCTCCTCATCCTACTTGACCTCTCTGCTGCTTTTGACACCGACCACTCTATCCTCATCCAACGCCACTCCTCTCACTTCAACCTTCATGGCTCTGTCCTTGATTGGTCCAGATCGTACCTCCATTTCATTTCCACAAATGGTTTCTCCTCTAGCCCCTGCACCATCTCGTGCGCTGTTCCTCAGGGCTCTGTCCTTGGTTCCCTCTTCTTCAATATCCATATGCTCCCTCTTGGTGACATCATCTGCAGACACGGGGTCAACTTCCACATCTATGCAGATGACACCCAACTCTACCTCTCTGCCTCCACCTTTGACTTCAGGATGACTGTTGTCCCTCCCTCTCCCTGACCCCCAGCTCGGGTCCGTAACTCTGTCTGTCCTGCGCCTTGGGACATCCTCCCGACGTGAAAGGTGCTTTACAAATGTAATTTTGTTGTTGTTCTTGCCTGTCCCTATTTTTTCCCCACTTTTTTCTGTGAATTTCTCTTTGTTTATTCCTGAGCGTCAATGTGATTAGATCTGTCAGAGTGGGCAGACTCGGGCCTCCCACACACAATCTTACATTTAACCCTTTTGCAAGAGTGAGATGTCAATATTTGGACAATCACCAGGAATTGGCATAGAAAATTCTCCATATTCAAACTCCTGTCTGTTTCGCATCTGCACGGGAATGGTCACACACACACAGCATAGACAACCTCTTTCCCCTCTGCTGTATCTCCAGAAGTTTTTGGAGGGGGTGGGAGGTGATTCTTGGTCACAGCACAGGGAAATACCAATCCTCTGACTGTGCTTCTATGTCTATATATTCAGGCTATTTGCTCATTTCGATTCACATTTTGATAGGCATCTGGGGATTCTGTTAGACAGTACCAGTTACACTCACTTGTCACTTTAACTTCCTTGGTTTTGCTGACTCTGGTATAGGAATCTGCTATAACACTGAAGGTGTAAAGATGGAAATCCCGGAGGTGCTGCCCTTCTCCATCGCTCCGATTGCTGTCCTTGTCCCTGGGCTCCTTTTCCTGGCTGCTTGCCTGTACTTATGGAAGCTTCGGTGGGACTTAAAGCGAGACAGAGACTGGGAGCTGCCTCTCCCACCAGGATCCATGGGGTTGCCACTGGTTGGAGAAACATTCCACTGGCTCCTGCAGGTAACTTAGATTACAGTTCCAGTGAGTAACCCAAAAAGGACAAGGCAGGAAAATAAACTTTGTTACTGTTTGTTTCATTAGCTTGTCTGTGCCACACATTCCCTACTGGAGATGGCCTCTGGCTATCTCCACTAGGGGATGCAGATAACTTGTTCTCAGGTTTGTGCCAAACCTCTTCTCGGTTGGCTACTAGGAAGAATGCTGAAGGATAATTTACTCCCTATGGGAACCATCTGGGTAAAAGAGTCTGTCTAGTACTGTAATGTTCTGACCCATCTCAGCATGAGCAACTGTATGTGCAAACTACACAGGATAAAAGGGAATAATTCACTGATAGCTAACTGCTGATATCTATTTCAGTGTCAGCTTCTGTACATACGTGTTACAGAGTGGGTAAAGGGTAACCATTGATTTTCTTGTGGTATTATAGACTGTGAATGATGTTTTTTGTTTCATTATTAGCTACAATACTCTGCAGTTTGTTTAGGTCTAACTTCCACACATGTACTGTACAGAGCAGACAAACAGTATCTCACAAGACTTTGCATGTTGTGGTCCTTTGCCTCTATCAGTGCTTGGCATGCTATTATACTTGTGTAAGAACCATGTACACAAGAGCAGATAATGTACTAACAAGTAGTCATTGGTCTCAAATCTCTCAGATACAGCAGGGTATAGAAAGCATCCATATCCTATATACAGGAATCTTCTCCCATTCAGGTGGAATAGAGCACTAAAATGATGTGTGTATAAGACACAGTTTCAGCTTCAGACAATGTGCACTATAAAATTTGGCCAGAAAGTATATCTATAAGGACACCATGGGGGAGTAAGGAATACGTTAAAGTGAGTTTGGCATAAAACTCCAACTTAAAGAAAATTTTTAAAAAGTAAAAAACATTTGAATTTGCTGGTCAAGAATGTTTGTCAAGAATTCCCCTAATGGCTTGATTGTCTCTTGTGAAATTGAGTGACACAAAAAAAGGCATAGGTTAAATTCCCAGTCAGTGATAAGTCAGCTGTACTCACCAGGGGGAGTAGCTTTTAAAATTAGCCCCAGTGACCTGCATTAGGAAGAGATTCCTGATGACTACTGGTATCATATGTCAACTTCACTCAGTTGATGGATCAGAAGTTTAAAGATTCAAGTTCAAAGGACTAAGGTTCAAAGCTCAAGATCTCATGTTTGTCAATCTGGTCCATTGGTAGCTTTCGCTTCTGTGTCAGAAGATTGTAGGTTCAAGTCCTACATCGGGCTTGGAATCTAGTCTAAGCGGAAACTCCAATGCAGTACTGGTTGTATGTTGCATTGTCGGAGGTGCCTCCTTTGGATAAGATGTTAAAGCGAGGTCCCATCTGCCTGTTCAAGGGGATATTAAAGATCCCATGGCACTGTTGAAAACGAGAAGGGAGTTTCTCCTGGTGTCCTGTCCAACAAATAAAATTGGTCACTCACTCCTTGGCTGTTTGTGAGACATTGCTGTGCACAAATTGACTGCTATGTTTCACTCATAAAATACCCAGTCAATCCACTTTATAGTAAATCCTGTGAACCCTTTGGGACGTCCTCCCAGTGTGAAAGGCACTACACCAAATGCAAGGATTATTATTATTATTACTTTGCAGGGTTCTGATTTTCATGCCTCCCGGAGAAAAAAATACGGAAACGTGTTCAGGACGCACTTGCTCGGGCAACCAGTGGTGCGAGTGACGGGAGCGGAACATGTGCGACGGCTGCTGCTGTCAGAGCACAACCTGGTCAGTGCCCAGTGGCCACGAAGCACTCAAGAACTCCTTGGCCAGAGCAGCCTGGCAAACTCCATAGGGGACATCCACCGCTGCAAGAGGAAGGTACAGATTCCAGGAGAGGATTTGCAATCAGAACCTATGGGGGAAACATTTGAGTTGATTGTTAACTCTGTGGGGTTCCTTAATATTTTCCTTATGCTAACAAGGAATGCACTGAGGAATACTCTCAATTTCTTTCCGGCTAGTTACCATTAGTGTAATACTTCCTCACTTAACTCAACATGAGCGTCCTACTCCAGGTTTCTGATCCACCTACAGGCTCCTACAATTCAGCTTCTGGCACCCCAGTAAAAATCACACATATGATATAGGGTCATGGTGATTCCATATAAGGAGTAAACACTGACAGAGAATTAGTTTTTTTTGAAAAAAAGGAACACCACAAATTTTGTCCTCAGCTTACTGACCCACCCACCAGTGGAAATAGTTTCTCCTTGTTTACCCTATCAAATCTTCTCATGATTTTAAAAAATTCTATTAAGTCTCCTCTTAACCTTCTCTGCTCCAAGGAGAATAATCCTAGCTTCTCTAGGCTCTCCTGATAACTGAAGTCACTCATTCCTGATAAATCTCCTTTACACCCTCTCCAATGCCTTGACATCCTTCCTAAAGTTGTGGTGCCCAGAACTGAACATATTACTTTAGCTGAGACCTAACCAATGTTTGTCAATGTCTGCCTCTTTCTCAAGAAGATGACAATATATTTATTAAGTGACAAAGCAGCAGAGATTCGATGAAGATTGAATAAAGACTTTCAAACTCTATCAAGTGATTTGGAATGGATCTTGTTTTCTGTATGAGCCTTTCACTGAGTAACACTATTATGTTTATTCGCATCTTGAAAGCTTAGCACAGGATTACTGTAAAGCTAGTTTATTTGTCAAACTTTTTATATGTCTCTTTTAACACAATGGTTAAAGTTAGGGTTAGCCTATATATACCTGTATTTTACTGGAATTGCAACTGTATAATAGAGGAGTGACATATACTAGATTTGATCGTAAATGTAGATTTATGGACCAATGCATGTTTTCATTTCAAACCACATTCCATAGCTGTAACTTTTTGGGTTTAGGTCTACGCAAGAGTTTTCAGTCATGATGCTTTAGAAAGCTACCTGCCCCGAATCAAGGAGGTGGTGGCGGAGACGAGGAGGAGCTGGATTGCCAAGGGAGGACCAATTTCCGTGTATCCAGAGAGTAAAAGGCTCATGTTCCGCATTGCCGTGTCAGTGCTCCTGGGATTCACTCCCACTCGGCAGGAGTTCAACGACCTCTTTGCTAACTTTGAGCAACTCGCTGACAACATCTTTTCGCTGCCTCTGGATGTCCCTGGCAGTGGCTATAGAAAGGTAAGCTTTGCTTTATTCATTTACTTTCAGCATTTCCCCACTTCACACACCATACCCACACCAAGAGACAGGAAACAATTGCTCTCCCTATGAGGGTTCTACTCCACACCACAAGTTCATGCTCAAGAGGCTTTTTGCTGAACCCAACCCCCTCCACCCACCATCCCCAACATGTGGGAAAGTGATTGGTCCACAGTCAAATGCCCCGCTGATGTTTACTGTCCAGCCTCAGGGTCAACTGAGGGACACATTAGTGTCCCTAAAACTGTTCATTAACACACAAGGAAAATAGGCCATAAAACATCATTATATAGTATTACTGGGGTAACTGCTAGTTGCCACTAGGTTGCAGCGCTAAAGTACGTAAAATGTAGAAACTGGAGTTTTTCAGGACAGAGGAATTCGACAGATACCGTCACATCTCCTTAATGCTGTACTGTTGGACCAGACAAAATTATAACATTATATGTACTATAACAATGTGAGAACTTCCATTATAAACACCGTAAACACTTCTAGACTGTTTTGAATGCATTTACAATTTCAAGAATAAGAAAAAAAGTTAAAAAATCCAATGTATTACTTTAATTTCACTGTAATAAGTTTTTTTCTAAAAAATAGTTATTTTGACTGTTTTATTTTTGAATCTGGTTGGGGCTCTACGATTAGAGATAATCAAGTGTCGTTCCAGGTCACAGAAACTGTCTCAAAACCGCAACTTTGATTTGTATCAAAGAACCCCAGCCTCCACTGAGAGAAAAAAAACAAAGATGGACTTTCAAACTTATAGTAATGCAGAGCAGTATATTTTAAAATAAAATTTTCTTCTCCAATTTGGTCCCCTTCAAAAGATGTTTTGAATTTCTTCTCCTTCAAGTGAAGTGCTGTTCTACAGGCACCAGATACCCTCTGATATCTCGCCCAAGCAGATATTATTCATGGGTGAGCTTTAATATTTCAGTGCTGGTTATCACAAGATCACAGCTGAGCCCAATCGTGTCATCTGACATATACATCCGTGCCTTCACCTCCCCTCTCGACTCTCTACCCCTTCCTCACTCCCTCCCTTCCCTCCCCTCACCCTGACCATATCCCCCCTGCTCGGGTCCCGACCCAACTGTCCAGCGCTTTGGGACGTCCTCCCGACGTGAAAGGCGCTCTATAAATGCAATGTTGTTGTTGTTGTACATTCACACACCTTCACATGGTTCTTTGGAGAGCTTGGATCACATAACAGAGACTAATATATCCTCGAGCTGTACCAAGTAGTCTTTTTGTCCACCAGGCCAATGGAGGAGCAAAGCAGTTTCAGTGGTGAGAAAATAGTGTGTCAGGGTATTTAACTGAAGAAGCAGCAATAGTCAGACAACAAAGATAAATTATAAATCTTTCTCCTTGATTGCAGGGTTTACAAGCTCGTGACAGACTGCATCAATACATTGAGAAGGCCACTGAATTCAAGTTACAGTCCGGTTCCTGCAAGGGGTATTCAGATGCCCTCAATATCCTAATGGAGAGCAGAAAAGAACATGACATGGAGATCAGTATGCAAGAACTCAAGGTGATGAAATCTGGAAACAGGTCAGATCAGTTCTATTCGAGGGCCACCGGATAGTTTGACAAGCTTCAAGTGTGTGCAATCCAATCCTCATCCTCAGGGTGATTCCAACAGGGAAAAATATGTTTCCATTCAGTTTTAGCATTGCAACAGATTCTACCAGCAGTGTCTAAATACATTACATTCCTAGCAGCATTAGATATAAAATCAGCACGATTCCCAGTGAGCAGAAGTCTCCATCATTCAGCTTGAGGCTGTGTATGATAACATTCTTCCATCCTAAATAGCAGCTCAGGTTGACTATGAAAGGAAAACAAAAGCCCAGGTGCTTTGTATCATATTAAGATGGATCTGGTTCTCAGGACTGACTCATGTAATATCCTTATTGCAGGAGGCCACAGTGGAGCTAATGTTCGCTGCCTGCGCATCTTCAGCCAGTGCCTCCACATCTCTCATCCTGCAGCTGATGAAGAACCCGGGCGCCCTTGCCAAACTGAGACGAGAGCTGCAAGCCAACTGTGTGCCTGACGGTGACTTTCTGCATCTCAGAGAGATCTCCCGCATGCACTACCTGGATTGCGTGGTCCAGGAGGTGCTGAGGATCCTGCCACCTGTGTCTGGTGGATATCGGATAGCGCTCCAGACCTTTGATCTGGGTGTAAGTGGGCCTATTTAATGTTGTGAACTGAGATTTGCATCTGATCCAATTTATTTTTACTTGCGTCAGATAAGCACAGGGTATTCTTCTACTTTGATGTGCATCTGGTCTGGATTCGGTCAAAGGGAATGCTAATTCTTGGGAGGCAGGGGGGTGGGCGCGGGAAGGGAAATCGTGAGTCATGGGGGGCACCAAAGAGCATAAAAGATCTGGTGTTTAAAAACGTTGTGCTTGTGGGTGGAGAATCCCCCTCCTCCCACTTCACGCATTCCTGCAGGAGAGAGGGAGATGGTTTGGGATAAGGAACGAGCCACTGGTTCACTTAAATAGCCAGTTGAGTCTTGAGATACATGTCCATTAATATGTGGTTGCTGTGAGATATCAATTAATAGTTCAGTTCTTATGAAGAACATGTTTAAATTATTTTTAAGGAGCCTGCACAGACACAATGGGCCGAATGGCCTTCTTCTGTGTTGTCAATTTCTGCTTCTCCTGTCCACTCTGAGTCTCAGCGTGCGCACATTGGCTGCCGTAATTGACCCGAGCTGTTTCCCCAAGATGTTCCCGACCCCGTCCCCTTCCCTCCACTACACCCGCTCAAACCTCCTCTCCCTCCATCTGCCCCGACTCCTATCCTTCCTCTGCTCCTCCCTTTACATTCTCCATCGTGCCCACCATGGTAGACGCCGTTGACTGTCCTACAGCACCCACCCTGACTGCCCCTTCTCCGACTCTCGCCACAAGGCTCACTGGCCCTCACCCATGGGAGCCAATCTTTCCTCCCTCACTCACATCCCATCCAACCCATCTGCCCCCCACCTCATCTCCCCAACATTCCCATCACTAACTGTCCCCTCCGCATCGGTCTGCAGAATGTCCGCTCACTAACCAACAAATCCCTCACAATCCATGACCTCACTGTCGAGGAAAATATCGACATCCTCGCCCTCACCAAAACCTGGGTCACCCCAGACGACACCTTCCCACTGGTTGAGGCCACACATCCAGGTTACACCTTTCACCAACCTCCACGGCCTAATCGTCGTGGTGGTGGTGTGGCTCTCATCTCCCGGTCCCCCCTCAGCCTTTCCCCTTACTCCTCCGGAATCTTCCCCTCCTTTGAACACCTTACCCTCTATTACACCTCCAGGCTTTCCCTCAAAATCCTCCTTGTTTACCTTCCCCCCAAGCCTTCTCCCACTTTCCTCTCAGACATCTCCACCCTCCTATCTTCCCTCTTCCTTTGCTCTGAATGCCTCCTAATTTTAGGCGACTTCAACCTCCACTTCATCCCCTCCTGGTCTACCTCTGCTGACATCTCCTCCCTCCTCATCCACTCTCCCACCCACGACCGTGGCCTCCGACCCACTTGACCTGGTGATCACCCGGGGCCTCACTGTCTCGGACATCACCATCATCGATAAAGCCATCTCGGACCACCACTTCAGCTCTCTCAAACCTCCGTAGCCCTTCCCCTTTTTCAACCCTCCTCCATCACATACCACCTGTGGAAAAAAAAATGCCCTCCCTTTCCACTGCCCTGGAGTCATCTGAACTTCTACACCTCTGGCTCTCCCTGACTGATTCCACTTCTCACTCTCTTTTCTCCACAACTCCCTCTCCTCCATTCTGGACTCCCTTGCCCCCCACAACTCCCGAACTGCCTCATACTCCCGTAGATCCCCCGGGACACCAGCCATCTCCTTTCCTTCAAGGCACCGAGCTGCCGAACGCGCCTGGACCAAATCCAAACTAATGGTCCATCGGCAGATTTGGCTTCACCACACCAAGGTCTACCGCTGCGCTCTTGCCTCTGCCAAATCCTCCTTCTACTCCAAGGTTATCTTGATGGCAAAGGACAACCCCAGGCTTCTCTTTTCCACCACAAGTTGTCTCCTCCATCCACCTTCCCATGCCTCGCCCATCCTCTCCTCAATGCCAACTGTGAGGAGATGCTGGACTTCCTCGAATCCAAAATCAAAGGGATACATTCAGCCACCTCAGCCTTGTCCACAGCCACCCCCACAACACCTCTCCTTCATGACCCATCCCCCATCCATCCCCCCCATACTCCTTCGACCCTATCGCTCCCTCCTCGCTCACTGCGACTGTTCGCAAACTCAAACCCACCACCTGCTCCCTCGATCCCATTCCTACCTCTCTCCTCATCTGCAAACTCCACCTTCTGGCCCCTTTCCTGTCCGACGTCATCAATCTCGGATTGTCCACCGGTACAGTTCCCACCCCCCTAAAAACAGCCGTCATCACCCCCATCCTGAAAAAACTTTCCCTAGATCCATCCCTCCTCTCCAGCTACCGCCCCATCTCCAACCTCCCATTCCTCTCCAAGGTCCTGGAACGAGTCGTCGAGTCCCAGCTCTGCTCTTTTGTTTCTTGCCATTCCCTCTTTGAACCCCTCCAATCCAGCTTCCACGCTGCCCACAGCATGGAAACAGACCTGGTCAAAGTCACTAATGACACTGTCGACCCCTCTATCCTCGCACACCGGTTCTCCTCTTTACTTAGTCTTCGCGGACCTGCCCTTGCCTGGTTCGATTCCTATCTCTCTCACCATCTCCACTTTGTTGCCTCTAACGGTTTCTCCTCCAGCCCTCGCACTGTCACGTCTGGTGTCCCACCAGGGCTCTGGTGACATCATCCGCAGAGATGGGGTTAACTTCCATAGGTATGCGGATGACACCTAACTCTATCTTTCTGCCTCCACCCTCAACTCCAGGACCACTGCTGTCCTGACAGACTGCCTGTCGGACATCAAATCCTGGATGAGGGCAAATTTCCTACAGTTGAATGTGAACAAGATTGAGGCCCTCCTGATTGGGTCGTGCCAGCGCCTCTGCACCTCAGGCTCTGGCAGCATCAACCTCCATGGTTGCACACATCAACTCACCAGCCAGTCAGGAACCTAAGTGTCTTGTTCAACCCTCTATTGTCTTTTCTTCCTGACATCCAAGCCATGACCTGCTCTGCCTTCCCTCACCTCCATAACATCGCTCGACTCCGCTACTACCTCACCCCTCAGACCACTGAAACTCTTGTTCATGCCTTCATCACCTCTAGGCTCAACTCTGCAAACCCCCTGCTTGTCAGCCTTCCCAACTCCTTCCTCCACAGACTGCAGATAATCCAGAACTCTGCAGCCCGTGTCCTCTCCCGCACCAAACTCCGTGACCCCATCTCCCCCATTCTCACCCGACTCCATTGACTCCCTATCCTTCAGAGGATCCAGTTCAAGATCCTAGTCCTCACCTACAAAACCCTCCATTGCCTCGCCCCACCCTACCTCTGTGACCTCCTAACCCCCTACCAACCCGCCCACTCCCTCTGCTCAGCTCCGGCCTGTTCCACGTCCCCCGACCCACCATTGGTAGGAGAGCCTTCAGCCACTCTGCCCCCAACCTGTGCAATTCCATCCCCCAATCACTCCGCCTCGCCCCCTCCTTAGCCTCCTTCAAGTCCAGCCTCAAAACCCTCCTCTTCCACCATGCCATTGGCCACCCCCCATCCCCTCCCCCCGCCCTGACCCCAGCTCGGGTCTGAAATGCTGTCCACTGTCCAGTGCCTTGGGATGTCCTCCCGACGTGAAAGGCGTTATACAAATGTAATCTTGTTGTGGTTGGTGTTTCTATGATCAGAATGGAAATTGATGTTACCAAAGCTTCATCAGTGATGGAACTTGATGTGACAAAAAGGAGGTCCTGGATAAAATTGAAATGCAATAACAACTTGCAATTATATAGTGCCCTTCACACGGGGCAGTATGTCAGAGCTCATAACAGTAGCGGAGCCCAACCCCGAGCCAGTGGGAGGGAGGTGACTGTAAGCACAGTTGAAGCGCAAGATCTTCTGTCATAATCATAGAATTACACAGCACAGAAAGAGGCCATTCGGCCCATTGTGTCTGCGCCGGCTCTGAAAAGAGCAATCCAACTTAATCCCACTGTCCTGCTTTCTCTCCATAGCCCTGCAATCCTGTCCTCCCCAAATACCCATCTACCTCTCTCTTAAAAGTTGTTATTGAATCGGCTTCCACTACGCTTTCAGGTAATGCATTCCAGATCCAAACAACTCACTGGGTGAAAATTTTTTCCTAACCTCCGAACAATCTTAAATCGCTGTCCTCGGGTTACTGACCCACATGCCAGTGGAAACAGTTTTCCCAGTTCAACCTATCAAATCCTCTCATGATCTTGAAAACCTCCATTACATCCCCTCTTAATCTTCTCTGCTCTAGGGAGTTTCGCTAACTATATATATAGTTTCGCTAACCTCTCCTCATAACTGAGGTCCTCCATTCCTGGTACCATTCTGGTAAACCTCCTTTGCACCCTCTCCAATGCCCTAACAACTTTAGGAAAGTTGCGGTGCCCAGAACTGAATGCAGTACTCCAACTGAGGCCTAACCAGCACTTTATAAATATTCAACATAACCTCCTGACTTTTGTATTCTATGCCCCTATTTATAAAACCTGGTATCCCGTATGCTTTCTTAACAGCTGTATCTACCTGTCCTGCCACCTTCAGAGATTTGCTTATGTGGACCCCCAGATCTCTCTGTTCATTTGCCCCCTTTAAGATTGTACCATCAGCTTATATTGCCTCTCCTCATTCTTCCTTCCAAAATGCATCACTTCGCATTTCTCCACATTAAACTTCATCTGCCACGTGTCTGCCCATTTTACCAGTCTGTCTATGTCCATTTGCAGTCTGCTACTATCCTCCTCACCATTAACTACTTTTCCTAGCTTAGTATCATCTGCAAACTTGAAAATTGTACTCCCTATATCCAGGTCCAGATCATTAATATAGATCAGAAAGAGCAGTGGTCCCAATTTCTGAGGGACACCACTACACACCTCCCTCCAGTCAGAAAAGCAATCGTTTACTACCACTCTCTGCTTTCTGTCTCCAGTTCTGGATCTATGTTGCCACAGTCCCTTTAATACTGTGGGCTTCTATTTTGTTTATAAGTCTCTTGTGTGGCACTTTGTCAAATGCCTTTTGAAAATCTAGATAAACTAAGTCTACTGCACTACCTTCATCCACCCTCTCAGTCACTTCATCAAAAAATTGTATTAGGTTTGTCAGACACGATCTGGCTTTAACAAATCTGTGTTGACTGTCCTTTATTAAACCATATTTTTCTAAGTGAGAATTTATATTGTCCCGGATTATAGTCTCCAGAAGTTTCCCTACTACTGATGTTGGGCTGATTGTCCTGTAGTTCTCAGATTTATCCTTCTGTCCCTTTTTGTACAGAAGAGTAACATTTGCAAACTTCCAGTCCTCTGGCACCACTCCAGTGTCCAAAGAGGATTGAAAGATTGTGGCCAAAGACTCCACTATTTCCACCCTTTCTTCCCTCAGTAACCTGGGATGCATCCCGTCCAGACCAGATGACCTATCTATGTTGAGCACCGACAGCCTTTTTAGTACCTCCTCTCTGTTGATTTTTATCATATCCAATTTCTGGTCACACACCTGCAATATTGTGGCATTGGTTGCATCGTCTTCTTTTGTGAAGACTGTTGCAAAGTACATCAGCCATGCCCTCTGCCTCAACAAGAAGATTTCCACTCGGGTCCCTAATTGGACCCACCCTGCCTTTGACTAACCTTTTACTCTTGATATGCTTATAAAATACTAGGGGTTCCCTTTTATGTTTCCTACTAATCTTTTCATTTACAATCTCTTCGCCCTTCTTATTTCCCTTTTTACTTCTCTGTACCTCTTATATTCTATTTGATTATCCTGTGTGTTTTGGACCTGACATTTTTCATAAGTCTCCTTTTTCTGTTTTATTTAATTCCAATTTCCTTAGTCACCCAGGGAGGTTTGACTGTTCTTCCTTTCCCCTTTGTGGGAATATATTTGCTCTGTTCCTGAACTATCTCCTCCTTGAAGGCTTCCCATTGTTCATTTGCTGTCTTACCTGCAAATCTTTTTTCCAATATATCTTGGCCAGGTCCCTTTTGAGCTCACTGAAATTAGCCTGCTTTCAGTTGAGGGTCTTTACCTTTGATTGATTGTTGTTCTTTTCCATAACTATTCTAAACGTAATGATATTGTGATCACTGTTATCCAGATGCTCTCCTACTGAAACCTGCTCCACTTGCCCCACTTCATTTTCCAGAACTAAATCCAGCACTGCTTCCTTCCTCGTTAGGCTGGAAACATGCTGATCCAGAAAGTTCTCCTGCACACATTTCAGGAGTTCCTTGCTCTTGTGTGTTTCCCAGTCTATGTTAAGATAATTGAAATCCTCCCATTATCACTACTCTATTGGTTCTGCATCTCTCTGAAATCTGCTTGCAGTTTGCTCATCTATCTCCTTCCCACTATTTAGAGGTCTATAGTAAGGACCTAACAGAGTAACAGCTCCTTTTCTGCTCCTTAACTCTAACCAAATAGATTCAGTTTTTGGACCCTCTACCATATCATTCTTTTCCAGGACCGTGATCGTGTTCCTAATGAGTAGTTACCCCTCCTCCTTATTTCCCCTTCCCTGTCCCTCCTGAATAGGTTGTAGCCAGGAATATTCAGCTCCCATTCCTGTCCTTGCTTGAGCCAAGTCTCCGTAATTGCCACTACATCATAGCCCCATGTGGCGACTTGAGCCTGCAGCTCACCAAGCTTATTGGTCATGCTCCGTATATTTACACACATGCACTCCAAGACCGGCTTAATTCGCTCTACATTTCTCACCCGTTTCTTTCCACTTTTTGCTGGACTATTCCTTGTTTCATTTCTATTTGTCTCTCCTCGTCCACTATGTAACTTGTTTCCCTCACTGATGCTACATTCTGATCCCCATCCCCCATCAAATCAGTTTAAACGCTTCCCCACAGCATTTGTTATCCTTGTTGCAATGACATTGGTCCCAGCCTTGCTCAGGTGTAACCCATCCCTCGTGTACAGCTCCCATCTGCTCCAGAAGTGGTCCCAGTGGTTTAAGAAACCTGAAGCCCTGCTTCCTGCACCAGTTCTCCAGCCAGGCATTCATATGTTTGATCCTCCCGGTTTGGTATTCACTTGCAAAAGGCATTGGGAATAATCGCGAGATCGCCACCATTGAGGTCCTGCTCTTCAGCTTCTGCCCAAGCTTCTGATATTCTCCCTGTAGGGTCTCAGCCCTTTTATCACCTACATCATGGATCCCGACATGGACCACAACTTCCGGATTTTCCCCTTCCCCCTGTAGTATATTTTGCACCCATTCGGTGACATCATGCACCCTGGCCCCAGGGAGCAGCATACCATGTGCGATCCCCATCTTTTATGGCAGAAATGCCTGTCTATCCCTTTAACTGTTGTATCCCTGATAACAACAGCGTTAGCNTTTTTTCTCCTTGTCCCCCTGAACATCCATTACCTTTTGACTCTTCTCGCCACAGGTGTCCTCACCGGTATCCAGTTCCGAGAACCGGTTTGTGAATGCCACACTCTTAGGAGATTTCTGTACTGCCTTTTTTTTTGCTCCACGTCCCCCTTCTTCTGAGCCCTCTGTGTAACTGAGGTGACCACCTCCTGAACTCTCTCTGTGGCTGTGGGGTGACCACCTCCTGAAAAGTTCGATCCATACATTCTTCAGTCTCCCGCCTCCTATGTAGTGATTGTAGCCTCTCCTCAAGTTCAGCGACCCTTAGCTCAAGCTCAAGCAGTCCTGTAGCTCAGTGGTTAGAGCACTCGCTTTGCAAGTGAGAGACCTGAGTTCATTTCCAGGCAGGGCGAAACCTTGGGCAAGTTTCCTTACTACACACGCCTAATAATAATCCCCCCAAAACCTAAAACAATAATAAAAATTGGTCATTTTCAATTTACGACTGTTTGTGGGACATTGCTGTGCGCAATTGGCTGCCGCGTTCGCCCACAAATACACAGTCAATTCATTTTACAATGTGTTCTGTGAAGCGCTTTGGGACGTCCTCCCGACGTGAAAAGCGCTATATCAAATGCAAGGATTATTATTATTATTATTATTATTATAAGCAGCCGGAGGCACTTCCAACATACGTGTTTGTCTGGAACACATGAACCACGTGGCACACAATGTGCATGGAATGGGTCTCAGATGCCCTGCCAGGTTTTCAGACATGTTTTGTAATATATCTCAACAGTTTCAGGGTAAACAGGTAAAAACAAGTAATTTCACACCTTTTATTCCCTTGTTCACACTCTTTATATACTAAATATCTACTCAACACCTATCGCCACAGGAATGTGACCTTTTGTGCAGGCTCTTGGGAGATTTGTTTCTCCTTTACAAGGTCTCACCTGCACCGAATTCCCACTCTCACCTAATTCTCAAACAGAATTCTCACTCTGTTCCTCCTCACACTCGATAATCTAAAAGTTCAGATGGTGAGACCAAGTGATGGCTAAATAAATATGATTTATTGTACTCTCCTTTTACAACAGGGTTATCAGATTCCAAAAGGATGGAGCGTGCTTTACAGCATCCGAGACACACACGATACTGCTCCCATATTCCCAAATCCTGAAATTTTCAATCCGGACAGATTTGCTGAAGACCAAATGAAGGGGAAAGGTGAACGCTTTCAGTACTTGCCTTTTGGCGGGGGAGTTAGAAGCTGTCTTGGTAAAGAGCTTGCCAAACTGACCATCAAAGTCTTGGCCATCGAGTTGGCCAGTACCAGTCACTGGGAACTAGCTACCAAAACATGCCCCAGGATGCTGACTGTGCCAGTCGTTCACCCAGATGATGGGCTAAAAGTCCATTTTCAGAACATGTTTACTATTAAAAATGTTAGCCTGTAATGAAAGGATAAATTCACTATCAAAGCTGGGAAACATTTATTTTATGGTGTGATCAATAATATTATGTTTAGCAAGCTGGATCTTCAGGGGTTCAGTCAATCCATTTGGCAATCCTAGCAGGATTCACTGAGGCAGTATTCTGTCTTAAAGGAAAGCACGGTTAAAGAAGTTTTTCAGGCAGGACTTCAAAAAGGGGAGAGGGGGCAAGGCGGAGGGATTGAGGGAGTGTTCCAGAGATTCCGGGCATAGTGGCTGAAAGCGCGTCCTTCGATGGTGGCCCGGAGGGTGGGAGTCAAGTGGAGGCAGCAGGTGGTGGATTGGGGAGGAGGTCGGAGAGATAGGGGGGTGCCAGAGAGTGAAGAGATTTGAATACGAGTGAGGATCTTGAAGTCGATCCGTTCCATGATGGGGAGCCAGTGGAGCCTGGCCAGAACTGGTGAGATGTGAGTATGGAGTTTGGGCAGCAGGGTTCTGAATGAGCTGGATCTTTTGAATAGTGGAGCTGGGGAGACCAGTGAGGAGTGTGTTTGAGTAATCCAAGTGGGAGGTGACAAACACATGCATGAGGATTTTCGCTGCATTTTGGGTAAGGTACAGTCAGAGGTGGATAATGTGGTGGAGGTTGCGCACTGGGGTGATTGTGAGGAAGAGCCCAGGGAAGTTGAGGAGTTCAGATCCATAGGAGTGAAGACGGTGACAGGAGCCAAGGAGTATGGTTTCCGTCTTGTCCACATTCAGCTGCAGAATGTTTACACTCATCCAGGCCTTGATGTCTGCCAGAGAAGCTGATAGAACATCGGTGGACCTGGAATTGGTACTGGAGGAGGCAAAGTAGATTTGTGTGTCAAACGCACATATATGGAAGTTTACTGTGTCTGTGGATGATAACACTCAGAGGGAGCATATAGATTAGATATAGATAAAGAAGGGGGCCAAGGTGACTGGGCAGGGTCAGGAGGAGAAACTATTTGACGAGATGAAATGGAGGCGGTTGGTTCAGTAGGGCTCGAATCATGCAAATGCGGTCCCATTAAGGTGGATGAGGGAGGAGACGTGGCAGAGATCCAAGAGGACAAGGAGGCAGAGGAAGCCCATGTCAGATAGAGGACGTCGTTTGTGACTTTGACAAGTGCTATCTCTGTGCTGTGTGCAGGTCAAAAACCAGACTCCAGGGGCTCAAAGAGAAAGTGGAGGGAGAGGTGTGACCGAAATTGACCTGCAACAATGCGTTAAGACTCCGAAGTCAATGTGGCTGAGCATTTCACCCTCCACACTATTCTTGTTCTCCTAAGACAGTTTCACTCAAGCCCAACACAAGGAGCAGTGCCACATCCTTCTCTTCAGCTTTCTAGTTCAGCAGGCCATTAAATATCTTACGATAGTATTTGAAAAGAGAAGCAAAATTCCCGATGTCCTGCCCACCAATTGTATAGATAATAATAACAAGATTTCATTTATAGAGCGCCTTTCTCGTCGGGAGGACGTCCCAAGGCGTTGAACAGTTGGGTCAGGACCCGAGTAGGGGGGAAATGGTCAGGGTGAGGGGAGGGAAGGGAGGAAGCGAGGAGGGGGAGAGAGTCGAGAGGGGAGCTGAAGGCACGGTTGAAGAGAAGGGATAAATAATATCCTTGCATTTGACAATAGTGCTTTTCACGTCTTCCAGATGACTCAAAGTGCTTCCCAAAATATACTGTAATGTGAATTGACTGTATATTTGTGGGCGAAACACGATAAATCAGATAAATTGATCATTCACATTAATGTAGGTTGTGGAAGCATTATGTGCAAATTGGCTATTGCATTTTTCTTTAAGTGTGTAGCTTCTATACTTGACAGGAATAAGTTCCCAGGAAGGGTGATTGTGGCTAAGATATTGGACTCATTTAACACACAGCTTAGTGCTTCAATGGGATTGCAGGCCGGGTATTCTGGAAGACCGATATCAAATGAGCTCTATTTAAACCTCTTGTAATCTTATGAATTACAACTACAAAATTACATTTATAGAGCGCCTTTCACGTCGGGAGGACATCCCAAAGCGCTGAACAGTCAGGTGTTGGGGCCCGAGCATGGGGGAGGGGTGGTGTAGGGATGAGAAAAGGCAGAGAGGTGGGAGGGCGACCAAAGGCACGGTCGAAGAGAAGGATCTTGAAACCGGCCTTGAAGGAGGCAAGCGAGGAAGTGAGGCGAAGGGACTATGGGATGGAGTTCCAGAGTGTGGGGGCAGAGAAGCTGAAAGCCCGGCCACCAATGGTAAGGTGGGTCAGGCGGGAGACATGGAGCAGGCCGGAGCCTGATTAGTGGAGGGAGTGGGCAGGTTGGTAGGGAGTCAGCAGGTCAGAGAGGTAGGAGGGGGCAAGGCCATGGATGGCCTTGAAAGTGAATTACCATTGAAGAACTTTGAGATGTTTCAAATGTAAAAGGTGAGGATCAACTTTACAAATGTAAACTTTAGATATCTACCATTTTCCAACTCCACTCCGAGACTTTGCTTTCCCTCTCCTCTTATTGAGCTTTAAATTTCATATCTCCTTACTGCCTCTCACACTTCCTTCCCCTCTCCCTCCCATTAATATCATGCTTCAATCTTCTAACAGCTCATCAAATTGCTTTCTGCCCAATTTATAAATCTGTTCATTGGTGTTTTACAATTTAGCTCCACTCCAGCAGGTCAGTTCTGAATATGAATACTGAAAGAGCCCATAAGTCACCAGGAACAATGCAAAAGTTTTTATTGGGTAGTGTTCAGGCAAAACAGATTGGCCATTCCAGCCAAACCTTCTCAACAGCACAATTTTTAAACAAACAAAACAAACTAACAACTTTATGCTTTAATTATTTCTAAATAGTCTTGGATGTTAAATTCGAGGAAACAGTTTAAAAATCAAACTATTTTAAACAATTCTACAATCAAACACAAATCTAAATAAAATAAGGAAGCCAATCTACTTCATTGACCATCCTACTTTAAAAAAAAACATTTCTTCCAATGGCAATGTAAAATTAAAAGCAACATTGAAAAAGGACAAAACAAGGTACACACCACCTTTGAAAGTGTCACTTCTAAACACTTCTCTGTCTATACTCCACCCCAAGATCTGTCAACTGACCAAAAACTGGAGGCCGAGTTGGGAGATGGGTAACCTGCCAAATCAAACTAGAATCTTCTTTTTAGGAGGCAAGTAGTCTATGAAGGCTTCTTTGTACAGCTTTTGGTTGATTTCAGATCAAAATAAAGGAGATGTGCTGAAACGATTTGAATACAAAACACCTTCTGTATTACTGACCACAGATTTAAACAAGCGATATCACAGTTCTAAATTGGCAATGATTCAGTATATAATAATAATAATCCTTGCATTTGATATAGCGCTTTTCACGTCGGGAGAACGTCCCAAAGCGCTTCAGTATATCTAAATACTGTAAATAACAATACTGATTCTTAAAAAATAAACAAGAAACATTTTTAATTCTAATAAAGGTTATTTGCTGTTAGGAGACATGAAAGAATATTTTTACGGTCAAGTTTACCAAGGGGTTCTCTGAGGCAAACTTGAAATTAGAAATCATTTTTATATAAATTGAGAACTGGAGACGAAAATGTCAATGGTTGCAATTTGAGTCTTAACACTATTATAGCAAAAAACACTGGTAATTGCTGCATTGCTAATGGTTATATGAAATGTTATTTTTCAACATACTGGTATGGAGATGTTCCTCATTCAGACAGCAATTCATTTTAACACAAAAATTCTTGTGCTTTTACTTTCTGCTACCATCTCTCACATTATAAAAACTCCAGTTACATTATCTACTAAATGTTAAGACTTAAAATAACTGTTTCTGCCACCTCTTGTTTTTATTAATCTCACATGGGGAGTCAAAATGTTTCTTAAGTTCTTTTAAGTCTGTCAGAAGTACTATCTGTGCAAGCACATTTCGCAAGGATTTATTGAAAGACTTTTGTCTACCTGGCACACCATTGGTGAACTAATACAAAAGATATACAATTATAGTGAAATTGTTAGTCTTGGATAAAATATGTATTTTGAAGAGACATGCTCATTCGGTTGCCAAGTTCATACTAAAATGAATGGCTGGTCTTTTTCAAACAGAATAAAAATTAAGTTTTATATAGTTTTCTGTCGAAAATACTGTATATGCTTGTATAATGATTCTGCAAAAGTGTAATTATGTACAGTAGGTAGAATGTTCACATTCAAGATCAGCATACTATAACGATTCGATCAACCTGTGGGGAAAATCTGGACCTGGGACACTATTCCTTTAAGAGTGCTTTACTTCACAGGCTGATCCTCTGCTATATCAGTCTCAATCAGAAGCAAAATTTGATTCCCTAGAAGCAGCAAATGCGAGACCTAACAAAAGTATCCAGTTTAATAGGTACCGAAAAGAAAAGCTACTCAAAATCCAAAACGGAGATTCAAGCCATTCTTCAGAAGAAAACAATGCAGGACTTTTATAAGTGGAGTGTGAATGTTTAAAGAAAAAGGAAGACTACACAGTAAGCTATCTACTATTTATCTTCATTCGTTCAACCTCCACATGTGAAGACAGTACAAGAAAAGGTGGTGTGAGTTCAGAGGATTTTTATCTTCAGCTCTGAAGCATAGGAGCACTCAGGTAACTGTCCTGAGCTGACAAAACCTCAACTTGGTGGAAGCATGTAGTAGGCCAAGGGTGGTCTCATGTGTTGCTTGTGCATTCAGCTATCATGTGAACAAGTTAATAGCAAATATGTCTGATTGTTCTATTATTGTGCATGTTCAATTAAAACAGATACACATATAGAAAGGTTACACTCTCTAGATTACCTGAATTAATAAACAATTTGTTTACGAAAGGCTTTCTTGTGTACAAAATCTTTTCCGTTCTACAGTACATGGCCTCTTACCACAATAACCATGTTTTGTGGAACCATAACACTGCTTCAGTACTAAATCATTATTCTATAAAAAGACCAATTGTTCTGAATGCCTTCTCTCCCCACCACAATCCCAGAAGCTCATTACCAAAACCTGCTTCTGTAAGTAGCTGTGGGAAATGAACATGTGCAGTAAACTATGTCTTTCACCATTGTATAAAGAGGAACAATGATCTGAGGTGAACCTAATTCGCCTTAAATTAACATATTGAAACAAATCCTTACTTTTGTTATGTTTGGGTAAGTGCTGATGTCAGCTGGTATGGAGGTTTTATAGCTTCTTTTGTTGCGGCTCCCCACCAAAACTTATGTAGATAGCTAATTTCAGGAATGGATGCTGCTCCTTGAAGGCTGGGTTGGTGAAAGCAATGCACTCATTTAGTCCTGATGTCCACTGATGGCAGGCGAGTAGCAAATACGAAAGACTGACCAATTTATCAACCTATCAGCCTAAATTTAAAAGCCTGCTAAACTGGATAAAATTGTCCATGCTTTGGAGAATTTAAAAAGTTAAATGCTAACTGATAAACACGAAAAAAACTCAGAAACTGATGGAAATTTCTCCTGATGTGAAAGAACAAAGTAAATCTGCTGCCTATGACAGGAGAAAAACAAAGGTTTTGACCTAGATTAAATCAGTGACAAGTAGAATGATGAGAATGAGCTGTCTATCCATGAAACATCTCAAATGACTTCCCCAGAGATATGAAAGTGAGTTATATTTGTACAAAAGTCCTAATGAACAAAAAAGTGAGCTATTCAGTCAAAGCTGCTGAACTTTAGAAAGTAAACTTCCTATTCACACTAAGTGTCACATTTTATCAATGGTGTTTCTATTGAGCACTTAATGGCAAAAATCTCAAAATTTGTTTAATTGGGTTGAGTTGGACAATTCTAAACTCTGCTCCACCAAAGTCTAGATTAAAAAAGAGAAAAACACAGCTTTATCGTCTTAAAGAATACACCTCTTGCAGAGCTAGCTTTAATTGATACAGAAATAACAGATTTAACACTCATTTTCTCTTTTAAATTGATTTTGTTTCAAAGGGCCTTTTTTGTCAACATCAGAAGCATTTAAATGACAGGAACATTTCTCTCATGTGTGACTTCAACAAAAAGTATCAATAGTCGGAAATTAATAAAAGCTTGGATTCTACACACAGGAATTTGTTGCATTTAAGATTCAAGACTACAGATTAGGTTTGATACCCAGAGCTACTGTTAAAAGAATTGTAACAAATCCCCCCAAATCAGCTTTGAAATCTCACAATGCTAACGTTGAAAGCACCAACACTGTTCTGGTGGACAGAAATAAATCAATCAACAAATCAATCAAAGTGTGGAACTGAACTCATAGCAAGAGGTGATGTTTGTGACAGCGCTCTACATTTTTGGCAAAAGGAACTTTGAAACTTTGGAATCAAGTATATCTGGTGGTAGATACAGTTCCAGCAATTGATGCTTCAAAACCAGAAAATAAGCATTAGGATCTTGGCATTTCACCAAGCTGCAAAACACTAATTTCCTTAGAGAAATTAGCAACTTTAAGCATTAGAACACAATTCTTGTCTAATGGCTTTTTGTACATATCTCATTATACAAGAAGACAGTATCTGTCCAGATTGTTGGTCTGTGTTGAATAATGTGCGAGTCTTGCATAAATACAGGTTATTCTTCTCATTTGTTGCAAAGTTCTTCAGTCATTTCAGAATCCTTTGCAAATGCCCTTTTCTCCCGGTAGTCTGCAGCATGCTTAGCTAACATTTTCTTTAAAAAAAAACAGAAAGTTTAGGTGGAATAGAAACTAACAAAAACACATGTTGTGCCATTAAATAGCCATTACACGCATGGAGATAGACTTACCTTCAGTTTCTGGTAATGGTTCATGCTGCTACAGTGAGCTTGCTTTGCTACTTCCTCAGTTGTGTAGAAGAGACGGCACAGTTTGCAGTAGTAGCCAGTTTTCTGAACCACATAATCCAACCCTAAAATAAATGCAAAAAGTACAAAATAATTTAGCCTATCTGCACCTCCCCTCACTGTCTGGAACATCCTGGAATGCCTACAACTTACCCCTTCCCTCACCTCCTTCAACACTTTCGGACATCTTTCCCACCACCCTCCTCGGCCCCCACCCCAGCTCAGGTGAATACCCAGGACTGTTCGCGCCTTAGGACACCCTCCCGATGTGAAAGGTGCCATATAAATGTAAATCTGTTGTTGTTGGAGGTAAGCAGCCTCCAAGGCAGTGGTGGACCATCAAGAAGCGCAACACCTCCCCCAACTCTGATTACCAAGATCTGGAGTTTTCAGATCTTTGAAACCTTGACATCTATCAAATGTACTCACCTACAGGATTATTGGGCCGATATGGGCCAAGTCTGTATTCTTCAGGAAGAGGAGAGAGAGACTCAGCATCGTCGCTTACTGGCTCAACACATGCTGAGTGGCTGGTTGATTTCACATCCTGATCTTGTTTTATTTCAGCTTCAGAGTTTTCTTTTCCATCAGGACTTTGCTTTTTGATATCTTGTTCATCTCTCTTGTCATTAGTATCTGTTTTTCTTTTCTGAGCCACATCATCAGCCTCATCCAGAGAAAAGTACTCCTCAGTATATTTTGGGCACCACACATCCTTCAATTTTCAAGACCAAAAAACAATCTTACTAATAATAAGCTGGGCTCACATCAGAATGCAGTACATTTTTATAAGGCTACTGAGTCTATTTGTGAACTTGTCTAGCTTCAAACAGCGATATCTATCTACCCTTCCCTCCTGACTCCACTGAGTAGTTTTTTGATGAAAGCAGAATCAAAAAAGGATGCAGAGCATCATAGCATAAAAGCAGAAGCTGACAGCAACTACTGGTTGAGGTGCAGTTGATTCTCAAAGTAGTTAAAATAGTACTGATGGAAACCATACAACTGTTACAAATTAAACTCTATATGTGTTGAAAGAAAAGATTCTGTAAATGTTTTTGAATATTATAGATGTACACCAGGCCAAGAATAGAATCGTTAGTGATCCATAAGCAGCTGCTTGTCCTGCTTTCTCACCAGTGAGAGGTTCAGGGGACAATCCCAAAGAGGTAACATAATTCTTTGCCCTAGTTGCTTCTTTTATAAAATACTGGACATGGGTTTAGAGACATGACAAGGACCACTTTCAGACCTCACTGTATTGCATGAGCCACAGAGCCCACTGAGCTTTTAGTGTCTCCTACCTTCTGGGTTGGTTTTTCTGTGAGTTGTGGATTTGGTTGTGCATCGCCCACCTCTTCCTTTGATTCGGATTTGTTGGAAAACCCAGTTTCTGCCTCTGCTTCAGTCTCCATAACTCCCTCTGCGTCGGCAGTTTCAGCCTCGTCCTTTACTGATTCTGTATATGCCAAGAGCAGTTCTTCTTCCGCTTCACTGAGTTGCGCATAGCTCTCTATATCTGGGAGGGGCTCTTCCTGCACTTTCTTGATTTCTCCAGGATCCTCTCCTTCTGTATGTTTTGGATCTTTGCCCTCTTCAGGGGAGTCTAGTTGTACTTTTTCCTGGTCAGACCCAGTAGACGTCTTAGGTTTGTCTTGAGCCTTTCTCTTAAGGCTGGGAGATCGTACTCCTTTAGAGGAAGGGCTATCAGAACGACCTCTTTTCCTGTTGCTTCCAAGTGAAAAGCTAGATAATAAATTGTATGGAAATAACTTTTACTGAGTGCTTCCATTTCGCCCACAATATATAGGTGGTCAATTCACTTTACAATATATTCTGTGAAGAGTTTGAGAATTCTCAACGACGTGATAAGGCGCTATATCAAACACAAGAATTATTATTATTAAAATGATAAGATGAAACTAAAACTAAAAAGATTACTTTTTTTTAAATCAAAGGTTCAACATACATTCTGAAGTAGTATGGACACGTTATGGAGTAGGGGATTGTGTCTGATTCTCCACTAAGGCAACAATGTCCAGGATTGCAATGCCCATACTGTGATGATCATCACCGATTTTAAATACCACAAACTGCATTTTCACTCAAATTTCTTAACAAATTAGCAATCGAATTTGTAGGTTGATCAAACATGCCAGATTTCTTATACCTTAAGTGAAGAGGAGCTTGCATTTTTCTTACCTGTCATCCTGATCTTTGTTCTTCATCAGTTCGGCAACATCTTTGCCTTGTTTCTGAAAGAACAAAAAGTAACATTAACTTCCCTTGATGGTGACCTAAATTTAATTTATTGATGCTGAGAAAACAAGCAGTCATACTACCTTCCACATTCAGATGAAGGGGCTTGATTAAACATGAATGCTTGGATCACAACTGTGGCTGCTGTCGAGTCGTATTTCCAGGACTCCCCAATGATCACTATAAATAATCTTGCTTTTGATATAGCATCTTAACACCGTGTCACAATTTCTCAAAGCATTTCACAGTATATAGTGTAAAGTGTATACTGTAGGCAAATGCAACAGCCAACTTGTACACCATGCCCCACAGTCATTAATTGAATGATCAATTTTATCTCTTGGCAGAACACTAGAAAGTTTTCCCATTTTTTTTAAACTAGTGGCCTTGAATGTAACGATAAGATCTCGGTTTAATGTTTTATTCAAAGGACAGCACCTCCGACAATGCATGATTATAGTGCCACCAACTGAGCCAGGTGGTATGTAAAGAACATTACAGCTATTATGCATCAGTGGGTTTTCTCGAATAAAGACATGAAATAGGAGGAGCTTCACATGTTTGTGAAATCTGCTTGGCTCAGTGAGCATTGTAAATATGTACCTGAAGTGCTTTATATAGATGTGATGTGAACCATCAAAATAGATATGCCATTATAAATCTGTTTTGGGTGTTAAATAGAATAAGCTTCTCTTTCTCTTTTTCATGGGACATTGCTGTGCGTAAGTGTGCTGCTACGTTTGTCTACAAATACACAGTCACTCCATTTCACAGTAAATTCTGTGAAGTGCTTTGAGACGTCCTTCCGATGTGGTAATGTGCTATACCAAATACAAGTTTTTTTAAATTAAATTCAGGTAAATAATGGGGAGAAAAACGCCAGGACCTGTTTTACCTTCATTATATGCACCACCTTGGCCATACTTAATACTTAATCACTCATTGAGCCCATTGTAGAAATTGAATGGTAATTATATCACTTACCCTCAATACAAGATTCTTGTATTTTTGAGATAAATACACTTTCAGTTCCCTGCCATGGAACAGTAACGGCATTTTCTTGAATTTTTCAACCATTGTCATCCCAGCTTGGTGAGATTCCATTTCTAGAAAAACCTGATGGTTAAAACAAAGGAAAATATAATGAATGCTCCTTGAATTATAACATTTAAGCATATTCTTAAACATGGTCTTATCTGGATTTTGTATTTCTGCCTTTACCCAAACTTTTTATGATCTCTCTTGATTTGGTCACATACATTTTTCAAAGATCAAACCCAGGTAAATAAATCAATTAATGAATTCATGTTCTGAGGCAACAGATTAGTTGTCAATCTCACCAAGTCCATACAGTCCTTATTATTAGATTCGAAATACCCCGTACAGCTATTAGTTAATGAGGAGTTTCCTACATGTGAAGTCTATTGTAATAGCCACTCCTTGAAATCAGTTATTGTATCGTGCTTATTCACCCCATACCATCAAATAGCACCAGCAACACCCCAGATATCACCACTTGCTCCATGTTTTTCTATTTGTTTCCAGTTCCTTTGATATTCTGGGTGTTAACCCACATAACTTGAATGCGGATTCAACCCTATCCCTCCTTTCAATCAGGTCATCAACCCCATTTTCTACATCTGTTACACAAAGGAATACCTCAAAGGCCATTTATTTTCCTTGTAGAGCTCATTGCTGGAGCTCTACGACAATGACTCATCGATATTCAAATGTGATTTAATCTACAATTGTAGGATTCTGTAATTAATGTTTTAAATAATATCTCAAATTATATTTGCAATGTTTATATATATTTGAAACATATGATAAATCTCATATGAGGGGAATTGGTTGCGACTAGCTTCGAACAAGATCCTTACTCAAGGAGGAGAAACAAAAGACTGTTTATAAACAACAAACTGTTTTCATTCCTTATCAGACATTTTTTCATGGACAAATAGTCCGCAGCTGTAGAGAGCTATGTTGCATTTGTTTTTACAAAGGAATCATCTTGCAAAAGACAATAGGTGAAAGGTCACCTAACGAGCTCTATAAACGGAGATCGATTTGGAAGAGAATTGGAAAAAAGAATTAAATTAGAGGGATCGAATTGGATGTTCCATGATATTGGATACTTTCTGGTGATCGAATTGGACGTGCCATAATAGAATTGGACATGCCATAATACCTGGGGAGTGATCGAATTGAACAAACAAAAATATCTGGATACTTTTGGGTGATATTATATTTGGGTTAAAATGGACATTACATTGGACATTGCTACTCTATCTCTTCCGCAGCACCTTAGGTCAACTTAAATCGTTGTGAGCTATGCGTCGATACGTAAGCATTATTGTGATGTATGCTTTTAATTACTCATAACTATTACTAATCCAAATTAATAAACATCTATATTTTTGTACATCTGTGTCAGTCCTTACTTCACTGCAGGATCAAGAATTTAAATTAACCCTTACACAATTACCTTCCAAAACCTACAATAATTCATTTTGACAGCTCACTCATTTCATTTGCTTCACTACCTTCTACTTTTAGACATTAGTCTCTATACTGTCTTTAATAATAATAATCCTTGCATTTGATATAGCGCCTTATCATGTCTTCGAAACGTCTCAAAGCACTTCACAGAATATACTGTGAAGTGAATTGACTGTATATTTTGTGGGCGAATCACAGCAGCTAATTGCGCATTTTGTACCTAATCTAAGATTCCACTGCAACACTGCCTTTTACGATCATACAGGATTACTGAAGCCTCTGAGATATAGGAACAGTATTCAAGTCTTGGACAAACCTGATTTTTAACTCTCATAAGCAGGTAATTAGTCACTCTTCCAAAGGGCATACCAAGGCTCACAATTTCTGCATCAGAGTAACCAACAGAAGGCAAGTTGCTAATATGAACCACCCGGCTGTTCTCTTCACTTTCTTGACCCTGAAAACAAAATTAAAGTTAGTTAATTTATTTAAACCTGAATTGTTCCTAGCGCATTAACAGTTCACAATTTTTCACCAAGTATGTTTTAGATATGGTAAATGAAACAATATCTGTAGTAAATTCTTGCATAATCCTGATGTATTACCTCAAGTTGTGAAGATGTTTACAAGGTAAAATGGTATATTTTATGGAAGTGTGTCTATGTAAATATGTAGCGCTGATGACCAACAGACACACACTTGTAAATAAAATACCTTTATAGTCATCTTCTTATATTTCTGGGACAGGTCCACTCTGACGACACTGCCTCGAAGAAAAGCAGGTTTATTTCGATAATATTTGACCATGGCCTGAGCTGCTTCAGTATAGGCCAGCTCTATAAATGCCTACAATTAAAAACATAAAAAAATTATATATATTTGCATATTCAAAAACACACTTAAGAAAATGTTATTCTAAGCAACATACCAAATTGCTCCTATATATATACGTGGCCAATGCCAGGACAGGTATTAGGGAAGAAGGTTTATGGGGAACCAAGGTTTGCAGGAAGGAGATGTTGATAGCAAGAGTAAGTAGACTTTGTGAATGAGTTTCTGACAATATTTGTCTCCATGCTTCATTCTAAGTTTTACTCTCACTTCTTATCCTGTCTCCGTTTCTTGTCTTTGCATAGCTCACTCTTTGTGTCCCTCGCCAGTTTTTCCATGAATGTCTGTTACAAATTCTCACTCATTTGTTTCTTCCCGTATCTCTTCCCTCACTGATCTCTTTCACTCAGTCAGTCACATGCTGCACATCTGCCTATTCTCTTTATCTTGTGTACTGTTCACTCCAGTCTTTCAGCTTTCTTACTCCCACTACAACATTCTTTCACTCTACCTTCCCCACCTCTTCATCTCTTTGAATCTCTCCCTTCCCACCTACCTCGACTCACTCTCCCTGCCCTCTTCTCCCTCCCCTTCTTAGACACTCACTCTCTCGGTCTTCTCCCTCTGTGTGATCACATCGCATCCACTTAAGTGCTTTGCTCAAGTGCTGTATCCCCCTTTACATTCAAAACCATGTTCTGCGCAAACACAGAAATTAAGCGTTGAAATGGGTGTGATTCAGGTGCAAGGTACTCAAAGCGGGTTGGTCAAAATGATTAAGAAGGTAATGGCCCAATAGATGAATAAGTAGCTCACCATTGACAAAGGGGTCTCAATTGAAGTGGTGACTAATTGCTGGGTCAAGCCTGGAAAAGGCAGGGAACTGCCTTTGAAAAGTAATGTAAGTTTAATTTTCAGTTTGCAATTTTAGTGCCTATCTTTAAGGTTTGGACACATCCAAGACAGGACAGAATCCTCCTAACTATTTGGAAAGGTATTTACCTCACTCTTTGTCTTTACCACCAAGGAATTAGTAACATTTCCAAAAGGCTCGGCCAGCTTGATCAGATCAATATTTGTACATCTAACTCGTGGCAACTGGCTGATGTGAACGACTCGTCCAAGTTCATCGTTGGCACCCTAATGAAGAAGAAAAAGATTGAGTAACAGGCATTAGGCACTTTGAGTGTAAAATGCTGCTTAAACCCAACAGAATTTAATGGGCACAATGCACTTTTCCAGTCAAAGTGCGATCCAGAGATAATGTACTATTTTAAAGTAAGAGTTTATTAGTAAAAGTGAAATTGTAAAAGAGTAGCAAATATAACATCAGATTAGAGCTTTTTCCCCCTTTGGAGATGAGGCGTTTGGGAGGTGACATCATAAAGGTAAAAGAGTTATGAAAGGGTTCAATAGGTTGTTTTCACAAACTGGTGAGTCGTAAAGATGATGGGGCATAAATATGATAGCCACTAGCAGATATAAAAGAGTTGCCTTACACAGAGTATGGTTAAAATATGGAACTAACAACCAGAAGCTAAGGTTGCAATATAAGTGTCAATGCAGATAAAAGCAAACTCAAAGCATGAATTGAGTGAGGAAAATAGGAATGAAGAGGAGGAGATTAGAATGGGTGGGATATAAACAGCGGCATGGATTAGTTGGGCAAAGTAGCCTGTTCTGGTGATGTACAGTCTGCAATTCTATGTTAAAAAAAGTCAACATTCCTCATTTGATGCCACTCAGGTAAATACAGAAAAAATAAAGAGTAGAAACTCAAACTATTACCTAAAATGTGTGTTAATAATGGAGGAATCAAGAATATGAGACAGCAACTAACCATTCTGACTGGCTGCTTTGGTCTGTAAATGTTGTTCCCTTGCTTGTTAGCCATAGGACTTTTTCTATTTGGACCTAGAACAAAAGAAAAGATGTAGGCAACATTTCTATAAAGAGATTTCTTCATTTCTCCCCAATTGCAATAAAGAACCTTTGAGCAAGGATTTCAGATAGAGATTACAAATTAACTTTTTTTCATATTCCTTTCTTCTGCTTTGCCTTTCTGATCTGGAGACAGTAATGTTACTCTCAGCGTAACAAAGAGCTAAAATACCACTCACAGATGTCTTAAGATGGTCTAACCAATCCTATAAAAATTTAGATACTAATTCCAATGACTGTATTCCAGCAAATCCCTTTGAGGGAACTCCCTCCTCATTGGCCTTCCCAACTCTTCCCTTCACAAGCTGTAGATCATCCAAAACTCTTCAGCTTGTGTACTCTCACGCACCAGGCTTCGTGACCCCATCACTCCCACCCTCGCCCGACTCCACTGGCTCCCCATCCCCCAGAGGATCGAGGTCAAGATCCTCGTCATCACCTTTAAGGCCACCCATGGCCTTGCCCCTCCTACCTCTCTGACCTGCTGACTCCCTACGAGCCTGCCCGCTCCCTCCGTTCACCGGGATCCGGCCTGTTCCATGTCTCCTGCCCGACCCGCCCTACTATCAGTGGTCGGGCTTTCAGCCTCTCTGCCCCCACACTCTGGAACTCCATCCCACTTTAAATGTTTCATACAAGAAAGTAGGATGATCTGTTGCTTTGTCTCTTCAGCAAATTCACTCTATTAATACTAACCAAATCCAAAATTACCTCAATCTCGGTGAAGGCATTTCAGAAAAGGTAGAAGACCTTTTCCACAGGAAAAGGCTTCTTCCATATCTTTTTGTACTGTGATGGAACATTGCTAGGTTGCGATCCAAAAGCATTGGCACTTGATCTAAACCCTTGCTGAATTTTTGGAATTGCCCATTTTTGTGCATTCGAAGGTCAATCAACCATCTCCTGTATATGGCTAGGAGGCATTACTCAGCTGATGTGTAGATGCTCAATCGAACAAATCTTTGTTTCCTAATTCTTCCTTTCTTACATCTGTAATCAGGAGTCATATTTTGAGTGGCAGTAGCTATGGTGAGCTGGGGTTCCTCAGGGTGACTTGTTTCTCTCTCCAGGTGGAAATAATGCAAGCTCTTCTTAAATGATCATCTCCTTTGGGCTATCCCCAAAATTTAGCCCATAACATTTAGACTATTTCCAAACAGCAATGGGGTTGGTCACCGAGTATGAAAATTGAAACCTTGTTTCCGCCAACAATTTGGGGAATATAGTCAAGCATTTTGTTACCTAAAGCCGCATGAGAATCCACTCCTCCCATCATTCTTCTGTTTGGAATAAGGGGTCCAGGTGGTGGGGCACCAAGAATGCCTGGAGCCAAGTTTGTTGATTGTAAAACAAGTGAATCGGACCTACAAACAACAAACAAAATCTAAGCAAGATTCTCACAGAAACGTTAGGAACAAAAAGTGATTTAAGTAAAGTGATGGGAGTTGTAACACATTCTAAATGTTGATACTACAATAACAAATAGGCCAAATACATTTAAATGCTAAAACTGATTGTAATTGTAATCATGCTTTTTCTGGTCAAACAGCAAAATTGGTACAAGAAAATGCAATTATCACAAGGGCTACCAATATCCTGGCATAATAGAACAGCGTCAAGTGCACACAACATTCTCCACTGCACTCTGCCACACTGGCATGATATCACACTCTAATAATATAATAATCCTTGCATTTGATATAGCGCTTTTCCCGTCTTCTAGACATCTCAAGCGCTTCACAGAATACACTGCACTTGTGGGTGAATCTACAAAGCTGGATCCTGTTCTGCAACGAATGATCAACTATTGGTTTTGGAGTGAGAATATACAAGTTCTGCTCCAGAGCAACAAGCTGATTAATGATGTACTTGATTGATATTTCATGTGTATTTGGGATTTTTGCAAACTGAAATTAACAAATCACTTTGCTTGTTAATCTCACATCAAAAAAAACATTAAAAACTCAAACATTTCTAATGTAGTCACCAATTATGTGGGGGTGGGAAACACTAGATTGAACCAAATAAATCCTTGTAAAAATATTTCAACATGCAAGGACTGTGCACTTACCCTTGAGTTGGAAAAGCATCTGGGTTCCATTCTGGGTATCTGGAAATTAATACAATACAGATTATAATAATAATAATCCTTGCATTTGATATAGCGCCTTATCACATCTTTGAGCCATCTCAAAGTGCTTCACAGAATATATTGTAAAGTGAATTGACTATATTTTGTGGGTGAAACGCGGCAACACAGCAGGGTTCCACAAACAGTCGTAGATGGAGTGACCAATTTATTATTATTTTTTGAAGGAATCATTACTCCCGGAATAGCGATCCACCAATTAACTAACAACCGGATTTTTACTTAATGCTAGATAAACAAAGGCGTGTGGAGTAAGAAAACTTGCCCAATGTTTCGCCCAGTTGGGAAACAAACCCAGGTCTCTCTCTTGCGAGGCAAGTGCTCTAACCAGTTTGCTACAGGACTCCATATAATAAAATATATTAAATATAATACAAATATACTAATATTTTAGAAAAGGGCTTGAAAATACAAAGCAATAACAACAGCAACTTGCACTTATATAGTGCCCTTCACGCAGTAGAGCACCGGGGAGCTCTTAGACAAAGCAAGCTACTAAATGTGTAACATAATGTAAATGCTGAGCGGCAAATTATAGTATGAAGCAACATTCAAACAGTATTAAAATAGAACAATAAAGTCATAGGTGCAGTAGAGGTTATTTGAAACCATAAGGTTATGGGAAATCACATAGCTGATAAGGCCATCACAAGGAGACGTCAAAGCAATATGCCCTAGATTTCCATCCAGATGGATTTACCATTTATTGATTTACAAGCAGAGCAGGAAGAAAAAGAAGAAAAATGCATCTTAATCTAGACTTTACTCCAAGAACCAGACCATAAATTGCCTACATACTATGGTTTCATGTAAATATGTTTTTCCATCCCTGAAAAGGTTGCTTTTTTTTTTAACAATGGAGCCTCATATTTTATATCCATGAGAAAACAATTGAATAAGTAGTTTGACATACTGAATTCAAAACTCATGTTTGACTATGCCCTAGTTAGCAAAGGTAGTAAACATAAAACATACATTTCCACAAGTAGCTGGCAAAGTCGTCTGTGTGTTGTAGCATTCTTGTGTTGGTTCCACTCCTATTAGGAGGAAAAACAACAGTAAATGTACACATTAGAACTGAAATAAAAAAGGTAATTTGGCGTATCTGCAAGAATGAGTAATAATGAACATATACAACTCTGTTGGCTGCACACATCCATTAATACTTTCTGTTGGTTTGGTAGCAGTGAATTAAAAGAACATTTTTCCTGTACATTAATAGAAAGGAAATATAGTAGCCCACTTTGGGAATTAATTTATTTTAAATTGTGAATTAAATGACTCTCCATACTGGTGAGTTCAGCTGATAGACAATAGTAAATCACAGGGAAATGTCAAATTTTAAAGTTTCAGTTTGGAATAAGGCTTCAGAAGGCTGATTTTTCCAATCAGGAGAGATTAGATAGCACATGCAGAAAACAAGAAAACCATTTTATTTCCTTCTCTCTCTTTCATCATAAGATAAATTTATTGAAATCATTATCTTTAAAAATATTAAACAATTAACCAGGTTAAACAACTTTTTGTGATGCCTTACCATTAGAGCAGGGTTGTCCAATATATTAGCCACTAACCACATGTGCTGAATTGGAAATCCAGATGTGGCGAAATTGCATTTTTGATTATTAAGTAAAAATGAGTAAGACACCCGTCACTGGGCATGTGATCTTAATATTCATTTGCATGGTGTATGTATGTGTTACCTTGACCTTTTTGTGCATTTGTTGGTAGAATGGTTATTATTATTGTTATTAAATGGTAAGACGAAAAGCAGTGTGTGCAAGTGATTTTGATTGTTCTGTGTGGTTTACTTTCTTGGTTACTGTTTATTGGATATTTGCTAAAATGGTGTGTAACAAGAGTGAAAACGTCTAATTACAGCACCATGGAAACACCAGTAAACGTGAGAGAGGAGCTGTCAGTCAATAATGAGCAGCTCCAACGGGACACGTCAGGGCAAAGGGCAAGCAGAATCCAACCACGTTCTGAATGGAGCATGGGCAGGTCTGGTGAGTCTTGCAATAGAAAAAGAGAAGACCAAAACGTCCAAACAATTCCAACTTTGATGAAAGAGAAAGACTGGAATGTTTCACACTGAACGGTGGTAGATCTTTGTTAAGTAAATATCATTGTAAACATACATGTTAAGTTCATTTACTTCTATTGTGTGAGTGTACGTAAGGAATTTTCTACTAAAATTAGTGCAGGTGTTTAAAACAGTAGCCATACCTGTGGCTAGTCAGTGATTTCTATTGGACATCATTGCATTAGACGTCTAACATTTATTACCATAACTTAATTTTTCGAGGACATTTAGGCTCAATGCATAAGCAGGATGTTGCTATCACCATGCAATGTTTAAAAAAAACTCCTAGGGGAATGAATTGTATTCTGTTCCATTGTACACAACACCTAATTCTGAATTGGTCATTTAATTATTTGCTTGTTGCAAGCATCTTTGAGAAAGAATTGCTAGAAGATTTAAAAAAAATGATATTGCAAAAACAACACCAAGCAGCACCGATCACAAAAAGAATTAAGGAGAAGGCTAGTTTCATAAAAATATTGGGTGTTGATCCCCATTCAATTCTGTCAGCATTAGAGTGGCAGGGAGACTGAAATGAAATCAGAAAAGGTGACAAAAGGCTATTTCTTTCCAGCCTTCTGCTGTTCATGCTTCCTGGAGAAATGAACTGAGGTTTAATTAACATTTGTTATATATAGCATTTCATATAAGAGGATGTCTCAAGGCACTGAATAGTCAAGGGTTTGCACTTGAGCTGGGGTTTGGAAACAAGAGGGGTGGAGGATAAGGGGGAATGGAGGTGAGAGGATGACCGAAGGCATGGTCAAAGAGGAAGGTGTTGTAATGGACCTTAAAGGAAGCAAGGAAGGGAACAAGCCAGAGGGTGGGGGAGAAAGGCTGAAGGCCTGATCATCAATGCTGGGATGGGCAAGGCGGGGGACATGGAGCTGGTAAAGTATTAGTACGTCACAGAGGTAGGAAGGAGCAAGGTCGTGGAGGACTTGAAAAGTGAGGGCTGAAGATCATAAACTCAATCCTCTGGGGGATGGAGAGCCAGTGAAGACATGCAAGGATGGCGGAGCTTGATGCAGGAGAGTATACTAGCTTCAGAGTTCTGAATAATCTGTAGCTTGTGGAGGGAAACGTTGGGAAGTCCAGTGAGCAGGAGGTTAGCACAGTGAAGCTTCGACTTAATTAAAGCATGGATGAGGGCCTCAGCTGCCTGAGAGTCAGGAGTTGTGGAGACAGGAAATATAGCGGAGGTGGGTGAACGGGTCATTTACAGAATGTCTTTGAAGTACATTTATACTTTTTGGAATTTCTTGTACCTTTTTTCTGAAAAGTCTGCAGCAGAAACTCAGATATCAGCTATAAAAATGTGTGGAGTGTCCCATAGACTACTGTCGTACACTAGCATTGAGGGCACCCATAGCTGCCTAATGCAAGTTTGTTCATTAGAATAGAATAACTAACTTGTCACCTTGCACTGTTTTGAAAGAGGGGCCTCTGTGTGAGTAGTGGGTATCAGAAGCTGGGCAGTTTACATGTGCATTGTACATCAAATTATCTGTTCAACTAGCCAATTCACACTTTAGACTTCCAAATACATCTTTCTCCAGAACTGAGAACCAAGTGCTACAATTGTTACCTTTGCATTAGGAGCATAACAAGTTAGTTCTAATACATTCCTGGTTAGCTCTACCGGCGACATACTATTGGTTTCTTCCCAACATAGTTTACTTGTTGAACTACAAACTTTTCTTGCTGAGAAACTATGTTGCCTGTGTTTAAATAACAACTGAACATTGGGCTTTAGGAACAGTTCATTATATTCGGTAAACTTAGCAGTTTTTTTTAAACAGAGGGCTAAATCTTAAATTATGTATTTTACTATTGTGGTGGGTGTACTTAAACAGAAGGATGGCTTATGTTAATGAGATCTAAATGTAATGCTAACAAAATTGATCCAAATTGAGTCTATTATGTACCATTTTAGTAGGAATACAGCACATGCCCAATCTCTTCAGTAAATCATCTGTTACGGTCAGTTGCTCCAGTTCCATAAAAAAGGATTTCCATCAATTGTGATATTTCTGCTAGACCAGAACCCGTTGTAAAGTTGTAAATTGGTGTATCAACTTGCATTTATTAAGCACCTTACATTCAAAATAAACGTCTCAAAGGGGCTTTACAAAATAATTGATTAGCAGGAATTGAATGTTGTTATGTAGGGACAAATGCAGTGATTTGCCCCATAAACAATGAGATGAGTAGATAATTAATTTCATTTCAGGGGTAAATTTGAATTAGGAGGGGATATAAAGCAGGACAGCTGCCGGAAAGACTACGTATCTTTGAAATTGTGACATCAAGGTGGACCCTTATGTTTTAATTAAAAGTCAGAAAGAACCTAAAATTAACACATGCAAAGAATGGGCTGATCATCTGGAAATATAATTGTATATAGTATAGAATATTATGTGGGCAAGTGTAGAAGCTGATCTGCACCAGCAACAGCCCACAAAGGAGTGAAAATAAAATTGAGGAAGAGAAAAGGAAAACTAAAGGGGAAGAACAACTAACTGAAGTGTGCCAAAAGTTATGATTAGAATAAGTGGAATTTTAGGGGTCCAACAAAATCCAAGCAGAAGGCTTGGATTTTTAAAAAATTCCAACTGAAAAATGACTTTACTCACAGCTAAAATGCTTGAATTTATCGCTCTGGCCATTGTGGGGCCTCTATTTTTGAGACCCATTGAGACTGCTCTATCATCAAGTCTATGGCAATTCTATATATCCCTTAAAAAGCTTACCAAGTGTTGATTGCCTCAATCAACTAATGTTTTATAATATAATACACAAAATGGTGAAGTGGCTTAACTGTAACTGGGCTGATATCGAAAACAAAAAAATGCAGCTCTGGCACTGAGCAACGTTTAAGCAACAGAGTTAACATATAATTTCTCCCAACCAACAATACCCAGGAGTATTAGCTAAAATGCATCAAGTAAGACAACAGTTGGTGCCGCTTGACCTATTCAGACTGAGACCTTGAAATATATGTTTTTGCTGAATGTTAGTCACTCACCTTTTTTAGCCAGCCTGACTTTTACCATTTCTGTGAATACCAAGAAGCATACCTTTTCCAGGTGGCACCAAATGATTAGTCACCACTGGCTCCCTGACGGTCCATAAATCTTGTCTTTTAGCATTTCATCTTTAGGAGTCAAGTGCTACCAGGTAAAATGATAAAGTTTATGGGCTGAACATGCAGCCCAAGGCTCGCTGTAATTGCTCTTTCATCTGATAGAAACATCACAATATTAGAATATGGAGTACTGTAAAACTAACAAACTCAGGATTTCAATCTCCATCTTATATACCTGATAAATGTGATTAGAGTGACAGAAATCTAGTTTCAGAAATCAGAATCAGATTTTTGACAGAAATCGTATCAGCAATGGCTACAATAAAAATATAAAAAATACACCTGGAAACCGTTTTTAGTATTTTAGTACCATTTTGGCAAGCCTTCGACTATTTTCCAAAAACAGATTTATTTGCCTTGAGATGGCAGCACCCAAGATGAAATGGTAGAAAGCCTCACCCATGGTGCTTTGCATAGGTGAAACCTCGCTATAGTTTGTATTGAGCAATTATACCTTTGCTAAGCATAAGGAAGAACTATCACCATTAAAGATGGAAGATAGATGGGAAGTTAAAGACAGAAGATAAGAGTAAGAGAGAGAAGGAATGGGTAAGACAGTTATGGTAACTGTCAAAAGGCCAATGTACAAATTTTACAATTTTATTTGGCTACCAGATTGGCTTTGGAAAGTCATTTCTATTGGCCTGCATGTGACAGAACAACAGAAAAGAGATTTAAAAGGACCACCCTTTTCACATGGAAAAAAATCCAGAAAATCTGGACATATGCTCCAATACTCAAAAGACAGAACATTATAACAGGCAAAGAGCAGCGACTTAGAAAACTTCATAAGGCTTTTTGACTTTCTAACCCTAAAGAATTGATTCACAAACAATGATCTCGCTGTTGTCAAATTTGAATTGTTTTTAAACAAGGAAGTGAAATCAAATACACATACTCTTGAGAAGCAGACACGAAACCTTGTTGAAACATACTCTAACAAGCCTAATGTTCAACAAGTACTTACTTTACATTAATACATCTCCATGGGAAGAAAAGAATGTGCAGCAAAGTAGATTTAAGTGCTTCATACTTTTGAAAGTAGGCAAAATGCTTTATGAAGTAAAGATAGTCAGCTAGGGCAAACTTAAAACCAAATGATGTTTTCCAAGTCCAAGAAAAGTTGGGACTGCAATAGTTATATTTCATAAAGTGATTCTTAAAGAAGATAGAGGTCACTCACCTGTACAGAATGAACTGCTAGATCACACAGCGAGCACAAGTGAGGGAAGATTTTTGGCAAGAAACCATGGTAATCGTTCATGTTGCTCTGTGAAGGAGATCCTCGTTTTCTCTCAAAGAGAGATCTTTCATGTGCACGAGGAGGAGAGGGAAGACGGGAGACTCTTCCATAATCAGAATCAAATTTACCAAAATTGTGTGGGGATTCAGAAAGATGCATTTCCTCTCTATAAAAGTCATCATAGCCTCTTAATCGTTCACGCTCATAGTCCTTTCGGTCGTATCTAGACTCTCGAGAAGGACGACCGTGGCCATAGTCAACCACTGGGTCAAGACCAGAGTCATGACTTTCATAACTTCTTTTTCTAAAATGTCTTTCTTCCTCCCAGTCATCATGGGAGGGCCTGTACGAACCGTCTTGCCGTGGAGAACAGTCATCTCTACCATATTTCAAGGACTTTCCTTCTTCGTTTCTTCTCCTTTTAATCTGCATAAGAGTTTCTGGTAAGCACTCAGGTGTAAGTTTCTCCTCAGGATACCGGCTCAATTCATCCAAGTCCCTGGATGAAAGGCCAAAGGTAGCTAAAATATTACTGGCCCTCTCTGCATCTATCTGTTTCTGAACAGCTTGAGATGGTTGATTTTGACTTCTACATCCAAACAAAGAAGGCAAACTACTGCTAGGAGTGTTGCTGTATCGAGAGGGCCCACCGGCTGAAGACATCAGACCTTGAGATCTTTGACCTTGTAGGCCAAAGTTCTGACCCTGTCCCGTACCATGTGGCCCAAAGTTCTGTCCACTGCCTTGTAGGCCAAGATTCTGGCCATGCCCCCCACCTTGTAGGCTGAAGTTGTGCCCCTGTCCTGCACCTTGTAAGCCAAAGTTCTGACCCTGACCTGCACCATGCAAGCCAAAGCTCTGGCCCTGTCCTGTACCTTGTGGGCCAAAACTCTGCCCCCTTCCAATATTTATTAAGCCAGTCAACTGTGGATTCTGGCATAATTTCCCAAGAGCTGCTTGAATATTCAGAGATGAACCTGCAGCAAGAATTCCAGCATCTGCATCATGAAAACGACTCTTCCTCTTAGCACGACCTTGATCACCCAGGACTCTGCCAAAACTTGACATTTTGCCACAAGAGTGTCTACTCCAACACTGTTAAGAGCAGGATAGAAGTTCTTTCGTGATTAGCAGGAGGAACTCCTAAATGCTGTTTCACTCTCTAACTTGGTCAAAAAGATGGTCGATTTCATAAACTACAGGGATGTAATTTCTCCAAGAATTTTGCCAGGCTGAAAGTTAAAAGAAAAACATTAGATCCAAGAATATGAATGAATCGAAAGGACAGAGATTCTAGAGTCAGTGCCGTTATGAAATTCAAAAATGTCTGTAGAAAGACAAGCAGTTTAAAATAGGATTCCGTGCAACATTATACAGCGGTATGGGTACAGTGCACAGTATAGCAGTATCCCATTTCTCTGCACTTGAAAAAAACTCGAAAATAACTTAACTCTACAAGAAAAACTTCCACAAATATGTCATCAAAGTCAGAGCAACATGAACAAGCGTATATGCAATCTGCATATGGGACAATGATGTACAATACCAGCCACGTGATATATAGATATAGGTTTTGGATATTTCTCTTGGGACACCGCTAGAAGAAAAATATGAAAACAGTCTAAAATTCAGAAACAAGGGTCACATATTCAGTGTTTTCACCAGTACGTTCCAAGATTGTACCTTCTAGAATGCATCATAAATCCTTTTTGACCAAGTCATCACGCATGAGATGCATACTGAAAGCAGTAGACATTTGAACAAGAATTTGTTGAGCATATATTTATCATCACGAGTGCGTATTCAGATAACTTAAAGTCAAAAACAAGAAAGACAAATCTATAAAGTACATAAACTAGGAAACTGCTATAATTTAAACCAATACTTGTAGTTGTGCATGATTTATTTGAAAATGCACAAGCCTAGTTTGTTCATTCAATACTTAGCAATACTCCAATTAGGAATTGTTACATTTATAATAATAATAATCCTTGCATTTGATATCACGTCTTCGAGACGTCTCAAAGCGCTTCACAGAATATACTGTAAAGTGAATTGACTATGTTTTGTGGGCGAATTTGTTTGGACAGACATCTCTTTTACACTATCAAATCAAGTGAATGGATTTTTACTTGAACAAGTGAAAATGTTGGGAGAGGAACCTTTCCAAGTATTTACTTTCCATATAGAGTCTTCAATTTTAATAAACAGAAATGAGTATTTCAAGCTGCTCAAACAATCCATTATATTGTCGTGTTTACGAAAAACACAGTTGAAAATAGGAAAGCAGATTGCAAAATTCACAAGTTGATCTTTGATACAAAACAATGATAGGTGTCAAAATGGTTGAATAGAAGAAAAACGGTTGGAACTCAAGATGTTTTAAGTCAATTAAGTGAATTGCCAAATAATGGCACTTGGATTGCATTATAGATCAATGTATGATAATGAACAGTATAAGAGAAATTGGTACAGAATGAAGAGATAACCTTTAACAGAGGTAGAAAAGTATTGGGGAGATATTATTGATCATTCACTGAAGGCCAGTCAATGTCAAAACATTATCAACAAAGTTAATAACGTACTTATTGGCTGTATTTCAAACACTAAACCAAGGTCACATTTGGAATGGCAGCGGAACTTCAAAATAGATGTGATGTTCTAAAGGTTGAGAGAACAGCAGCAAAGATCATCTTAGGATTCTAAGTTACAGAAAGACACGCACATAGCTGACGCAGATTGCTTTACAGAAAAGACAGAGAGGATGCATGAATCAGGATTTTAAAAAACGAAGTGAGGTCATACAAACGGATACAGGTTATTTCACTTGAAGAGAAAGAGAGGATGTGAGGTGTAAAAATAAGACTTAAGCAAGATTTGGGAATAGAACCTCATGTGATTGCTTTATGATTCCCAGTGTTTTTCTGGGATTGGACAGCAACAAATTGCATGGCCCCATTCAACCAAATTGAGCCACTCCAGAATACACCCAGCCAGTCCACATAACATACTTGATACATGTGGTCCGTCCAGTTGCTGAGAAAGGAAATCCAGAAAATGTACTGTCCTTGGAACAGAAATAAGACATTTATGAAATATTTCTTCTATCGCCCTTTGAACAGAAAGTATCATCCCGGATAACACCTCAACAAATGGCTATGATTTATGATTTACCTTTAAGGGTACGGTTAGGGAGAAACTTAATACTATCTTCACTACAGAATTCATGACAGAGCAAATTATATGTGCTCTGTGAAAGGAAATAACTTGATGCCCTTTTCTTGTTCCTTGTATTGTTTATATAATAGTTATTGGAGATGACACGATACAAGAGATTTGATAAAGTCCTTCTGTCTCTCTAGTACAAGTGTAAAGCAGACATAGCCCAACAGTAAAAAGCTGTTACCTGAGACTACATTCAATGCACTCTTTAGAAACACTAAGTACAAGTTATAATACAGCATTTAAAAAAAATTATATAGCACTTTCACGCCCGAAGCATGTGGCCAAGTTGTTGGATAGTCTAAGGTTTGCACTCGAGCTGGGGGTGAGGGAAAGATGTATTTGAACTAGGTTAATAAACTATTCCTTCGTTTACAGTAAATTTTCAGAACTCAACAATGCTTTATGGCAAAAACACATAATTTAATTTTTAATCCCGGAGTCTTTAACAGTTAAACTGCATAATAAAAAAACACTCATGTGAAAACACCAAGGAAGTAAAAGTCATATATAAACAAATACAGATAGCCTTAATTTTCAACTGAAGGATTCAAAATTCTCCATTCTCTGGATTAACACCAAAATTTCTCAAGAATTATTAACATTTGAAGAAAAATAAGAAATTTAATGATAAATTATTAGTTTAGAGAGCAAAGATTGATAGGACATAATAATACAGTACTTGCGTTTTATATAGCGCCTTATTACATCCCCAAAACATTTCAAAATGTTTCTCAGGATTTACTATAAAGTGTAGTGACTGTATTTTGTAGGTGAACACGGCAGCTAATTTGTGCACAGCAATGTGAGGCTGGGGTGAGGCTGCCTGATCACTTATGCATTATTCAGAAATTTGCATGTGGGCAAGTTACTAGCTGAGTTTTCTACCAATTATTTATTGTTTTTGGTTTTGGAAGGATTATTATTAGGCGTGTGGAGTAAGGAAACTTGCCCAAGGTTTCCAGGCAGGACGAAACCTTGGGCAAGTTTCCTTACTCCACACGTCTAATAATAATCCCTCCAAAACCAAAAACAATAAATAATTGGTCATTTTCAATCTATGAATGTTTGTGGGACATTGCTGTGCGCAATTGACTGCCGCGTTCGCCCACAAATATACAGTCAATTCACTTTACAGTGTGTTCTGTGAAGCGCTTTGGGACGTCCTCCCGACGTGAAAAGCGCTATATCAAATGCAAGGATTATTATTATTACCACATATTTTGAACAATGGCTATTCAAATGGTCTAACTGTTAGAATTACCACTTTTCAAGATTGGGGACAATACTAAATATTGTCATCATTGAATCAGTTGAAAGTGTCCATTTTGGAATACGCTATTTGACATGACCAATCCCACCGGGACAAAAAAAAGTCCATTCTTTTACATTACGAATGCCACAATTATTCTGGAGAAGGAAACAAATCAATATTTTAAGATTTAGCAAAAAAAGAGTAACGATAACTTACTTGAATTGTAAGATCAGCTGAAACACAATTTGAATCCTTCAATACCCACCCGTTATAAAAAGCTTTTAACCATTTGGTTAACCAACTATGCCAAAGTCACCAGTGCTGTCACAAGGACTATATAAGTACTGGGGTGGAAGAAGTAGAGAAAGGGGAATTACACTTATTCTAAAGTTTCAATGTTGTTCCAACATGCTCTTGTGTGATAATCTGAATTCAAACCTTCAAGTTTACCCACCGCTGTTATATAGCTCATAATGCTATATCTAAGTACAAACTTTAAGAGAAACACAGTTGAACTGCTAGTCATTTTTCAGTGAAAGATAAGTATAGTGTGGACTTTTCATATATCCACAATGATATTTTACTGAAATCTTAGTGACAACACTGGTCACCTTATGATACAAAACAAGGCAAAGTCCAAGTTACTGGAAATCATGAACAGTGAAGCCAAAACTTTAAAAGCCGGCCTTAAGGATACTGAAAGGTTACTTCATTCTCTAGCACTGCATTGAGAAATGAAACAGATTCTCCCTCACTGGAGAACAAAAACTAAATAATAATAATAATCCTTGCATTTGATATAGCGTTTTTCACGTCGGGAGGACGTCCCAAAGCGCTTCACGGAACACACTGTAAAGTGAATTGACTGTATATTTGTGGGCGAACGCGGCAGCCAATTACGCACAGCAATGTCCCACAAACAGTCATGGATTGAAAATGACCAATTTAATTATTGTTTTGTTTTTTTGGAGGGATTATTATTAGGTGTGTGGAGTAAGGAAACTTGCCCAAGGTTTTGCCCTGACCTGCCTGGAATTGAACTCAGGTCTCTTGCTTGCAAAGCGAGTGCTCTAACCACTGAGCTACAGGACTCCACTAAGGGGGTGGGGATCCTCAATGTGTTTCAGATATTTAAAGTCATTAATCCACATAGAATCTTCCATCACACATCCCCAGCTGCTCTGGAAAATGGGAGAACCCAGAATATATGCCAGCTGACACCCAGAATTCAATATCCTGCAAGTGAAAATCTCAGTGAAAAATGAGGTATACCTCATTTGAAAATACATTTTTAAAAGCCAAAATATGGGTTCAATATGAGACCTCTTTTCTATAGTCCAATTATACATATAGACCAGGTAGAGTAGTGCCAAGAAAAAATAGCAGCATGTGATAAGCAAACTGGATGGCTTCTTTGCCAAGAAATAGATTGAAACAATAGAGCAATCCGGGTAGAGAATTTGACAGGAATATTTTCAGTTTCTGTAACAGTTAGCACCAGTTATAATAAAAAAATCGTTGAGCCAAAATGATATTCTGGTTGACAATACAGCAGAAGCCATTTTAACCAGACTCCGTTGTCACCCTTGGCCCTGATTCATTTGTATTCTTTTAAAAATGCTGTTTCATTTGTACAATTCGGTTAATCCGGAAAAAATGCCAGGCCGATCGTTGCTGAATGAATTCACTCACGCATTCTGTGTCTCGAGTGCCTCCACTCAGCCACGAGCGGCTCCAGGGTGGAGATGGGAGAAGTCAAATTGCGATTCATTGACAGCGGACTCCAGCCATTCACAAGCGGCTGGAGTTGGGCTGTCAATCAGTGGAGGAATGGGGAAGAAACAAGGAAGGGAACGGGAGGAGTCAAATCACGATCGATTGACAGCTGAAGCTGCTTTTAATTGGCTGGAGTGCCCACCCACTCACAAGCGGCTCCAAGGCTGTCAATCACCTCGGAGCCGTTGCTAATTGGCAGTCAGGCTTTCAGCCATTCTGCCCCCACCCTCTGGAACTCCATCCAGCAGTCCCTCCACCTTGTCCCCACCCTTTCTCCTTCAAAACTCGTCTCAAGACCCTCTTCTTCAACCGTGCCTTCGGCCACCCTCCTTCCCCCCTCCCCGATCCCAACAACCAGCTTGTGTCCAAAACACTGATGGCCCAGCGACTTGGGACATCCTCCTGACATGAAAGGCACTATATTAATGTAATTTTGTTGTTGTATTTTGTAGTTCTTTGAAGCCAGGCTCTCAGCAGCAATGCCCTGGAATACTGGCTCAGGAACCGGATTACCGAGACCACCAATAACGTTCATTCTGATATTCTGTTTCCAAACATGTCACCTTGGAGTCGGTTCAAGAAGACCCCACTTACCCACCCCCAAGGAGAATCATGTTGGGAATTCGCTGCCTGAAGTGGCTGAATCAGAGAGTCTAGATGCATTCAATGGGAAGATGGGCCTTCGCATGAGGGATAAGAGTATGAGAAGCAGTAAGGAATGGGCAAAAAACTCATGTGGAGTATAAACACCGGTTACTGACTGGTTAGCCTGAATGTTTCCAAGCTGTATCTTCTTTGAAACTCTTTGTATCTGGAGCATGCGGAGGGTAGAGCTGGGGAGGCTAGTAAACAGGGCATTAGAAAAGTCAAATCTGGAGGTGACAAAAGTATGGTTGAGGGTTTCAACTCAAAAGGAGAGCTGAGTCAAAGAAATCACTAAGATTGCACACTGGCTCTGCAAGCAGTTTGGTGGTTGATACAATCCAAAGGTAAGGAGACACTGGAAGGAACTGAGCAGGACGGTTTATTGTCAACATTCAGTTGAACGAATCAATGCATCCATGGATATATTTGAAAGACAGCACAGCAGTGGTTTGAAGTCGAGGCTGGATGGTGGCAAAGAGATAGAGTTGGGTGTCATCCACATAAATGTGAAAATGAATTTCATGCCAGTTATGACCTCACCAAGTAGAAGCATGGAGACAAGAAAAAGGAGAGTACCAAGGATAGAGCCTTGAGGAAAACCCCAAGTAACTGTGCAACAGCAAGAAGAGAAGCTATTAGAGAAGACATAGTGACAGACAAGATGATGAAATAGGTAAGAGTGATACTACGTGTGTTGCTCAATGACCAATAATAGACTATCAATCAGACACAGGGTGCCCTGGTCACATATTGTGGTATGTAATTGTTAACTTTGACCATAACCACTGTGGTGCTGGAAACTAAACTCATAAAGGGAACGGTTGAAAAGTTAAGAGATTAACTGAAACCAATACATCCAAGTTACCTGGAAGAGAATGGGCACGTTGGAGATGGAGCCATAGCTAGAGTTTGGAGTTTTTTTTTGCGGTGGTCATTTAATTCTCCAAGTCAATAAGCCTTCCATAAACTGTCATCAGTAATCACTTTTTAAATAAACATTTCAAAGGGAACATCAGGAAGGGGGAAATGCACTGGGACTTGATGTCTCCTGGAGCAGGTCAGCAGTATATGGGTCCACACTACCAATGGCAGATGCATCAAGCCAGGAAATTGAAAATGGTGGTGGGGGGGTAACATTTTGGATAAGGAGAGATACAAAATAAATACATCCACTAGTTAAAAATTGGTGCTGATGTCAATCATGTTTCTGTTCATTTGATTTTTGAAATGAGATTCCTTACAGCAAAACGTCTTACTAATATTATATCCACTCACAACTCTCATGAACACGTTGTACTATGTACCTTTGTTAACACTCTTTTCAGAGAGTACCTCATTCGCAAATTTGTCGTTTCTGTTTTCTGCTGTGTGAAAATATCAACTCTTTTTCGGGCTTACCGTTCCCTTCACTCACCCGCCCTCCTTTCACATTATTGTTCTTTCAACCTTTTGTTTTACTTAACCCGCCCTTAGGTTTACCTACTTTTAAGATACCCCCTTCAACCCTACCTAAAACTTCAACTTGGTCTATATAGTCGCCTCACCAGCTATCCTTCGCTTTTTTCACCTTCTGTACCCATCTTTTTTTGACTCGGAGCTTTTGTTAATCTCCTAACTTTTTACTGCAACCACATTTTGCTGCGGTGGGTCTTTTATCCCCTCTTATTTTCAGAATAGTTGCCACGCACTTATAGCTGGGTCTTTGTTCCCCATCCCCAGCGAGCTCAACCCTATGGGGAGCTCTTAAGCGGGTTATTTTCTCCCGGTTTATTATTATTTCCCCTGAGCTGGCTGCGGCTCATTCTACGTCTAAGATTTTTTCTTTCGTACAAAATGGCGACAGCGCCATCCTCGAATAAAAGTCCCCTTAACCGCCACTCTGACATCTGGAAACACTATCTCCTGACAGAAACTTGACCCCGAACCGTTGTCACCCCGGTCACAGAATATTCCAGCCGTGATATTCGACATAAAACACATCCACCTCCTCACCCCCCACCACTCGGTTTTCTTACCTCCCGAGGCAGTCCGTCCCGAGACAGGCCGAAAAACATCCCAGAGTGCACCGCGCGCTCCCGCCCGCCACGACTCCCACACTGCACCGCGCGCTAACCTCCCCCCGAGATCCACACCGACCGCATCGAGCACCGGCCTCACCGCCAGAGCTCCGCACCGTGAGGAGCGCCGCCGTGTGCCGCTCGGCACCGCTGAGAACAGCACCACCAGCCTGGCTCATGGCGGGGCCTGGGAGGGCAGGGAGGCAGCCCACTCAGCTCCTGCTAACCCTGCAGCCACAGTCTGAAAGGTCAAGGCAAGCAACAGGAAAGCTGACCAGACAATATCAATGGCAAGTCACACGGTTACACTCCAGCAGTAACCCAGTGCACACTCTGGGTCCCCAAGCCTTGGCTCTTGCTAACCTGCGCTTAATACTTGACAGAGTGAGATAAGCAGCATGCATCCCTCTGGGGAGAGAGTGCCTTTCATTCCAGCCATCTATCCCTGGGATTCCCATGTGTAGATGGGATGCATAGAAATCTCAATTTGCTTTGGATTCTCTTAAGCAGGTGATGGGTTTCCACATGTATCAGACACCTGACTGCCCAAAGAAAAATGCTACACCAGGCGATGGGCTCCCTGCCGGGATTCCCACACCGCACCATGCATCAATTTTCTCCCTCCCCACCCCCGTGTTGCCAGATTGGGTGGATTCATGCACAATTGGTTGGAATTTTTATTGTACTGTCTGAAAAAATAGCTTTTGGCAGGTGCCTAATATTTTCATTTAAACCTGCGAAAGATTTTTTTTCCTTTGAATACTTTTTTAAATCATGGTTTCAAAAGTTGTAAATTGGCAACTCTGCTACCTATAGCAGGCAACGTAATATTGATCTACTTTTGGGCTACTATTTGGTGGACTTTGGGCTACAAATGTATTTTAATTTCTGGCACCCTGGTCAGGCCTCGCACACTCCACCACACTCTAAACCTTGCTGCCAGGATCTCTATGCTCCCCTGTCAAATGTCAGTATTGTCAAATCAAATTTATTTCCAAGGAAGAAGAACCCACTGACTTTTCTGTGACAGTCTTCCTTGGAGCTAAACCTTGGCTCTAAGGTGAGCTACCTGGTAATAGAATGTCAGAATTGAGTCAACCCTCTGACCATCTTGGTTGTCGGTTTCCAGAACCAGGCTGGTCCACAGGGTATTTGGGGCCAGGGATTTTACCCACTTAAGCTCCTTTATTCTGTCTTTCATTCTCCGCAGCCTATTAGGATGTAGGATATGTGGTGCATAGATAAATACTTCTTTTAAATTGAGTATCTTGTTATTGCTTGCAAATCAGAAACATAATATTGCTTTTGAGTCCAACAAACAAGTTGATAAGAAAAGTATTGAACAATTTCAAGAATTTCCTTTATTTCTCAGAAATAAAATGCCCCATTTCCAGGAATTGGTCAATTTATTAACCTTTGTTTAAATATTTTATTACGTGTAATATTTTATCACTACTGTACATTTTTTACAAACAACTACTATATTAAACATTCACAGGTTCAAGTATGATTTAGGATAGAATAAAGATTCAATTCCACAACTTTACAATCAGCAGGCTTAGCATCTGGTCTGTGGCGGTGTCATAAGGTACATGTGGCTGGACATTTCTCATGGGAGGATGGAAAAATTGGCCAGTGAATCACCTTGGCCACTCTTTAATACCCTGAAATACTTGGCTTGATATCATTTGTAGAAGATTTGAACAGAGCATGTATCTTCCCTATTAACTAGAGAATGCTATAGGAAACATGTCGCCAACCTTTCTAGAACAAATTGAAGAAAAATGTAGTTATAACCAAGATGTAATTTTAAGATCTAAAATAAGCTTCCAAATTCTGTTAAAGGTGGTTTTCTGTGCATAATAAGGGAGGAATTTCTGCTTCTGTGATCAAATGGGCTTTGTCTTTGTCATACGAGTCTCTAGAGGTACATTGACTCTTTAAAAAGTCTGGTGTTCTCTTTAGTGTTTTTCCTGAAATACAATATCAATATAGGCAATTACTAATACAAGTAATTAATATACTATAAACAGATTTTTAAATGTGTACTGTGTTATACAGCAGGTTAACAGAAGCAAGATGTTCAGATTGGGTAGCTGTAGGCTCACATCCACAGATTCTCCACACAGATTGTTAATCTGATTTGTATCACTGGAACAAGTGAAAAATTATAATTTATCCCAAGCCTTCTTCATTCTCTGATAGATCAATCTCCACATACAACTGCAAACGCTTATGTATAAAAAAGCTACATTTTAATCATTTTAATTGAACCCTAACTTTCCACAATTCACATTTATTTTGAAAATTGTAACAGTGCAAGATAGGCTCCTTAACTGGATTATTTGGAAGCTTCACCTCAGTTTGTGGAAACAGTTTTGTGTAGCACTAAGATGCTAATGTTGCATTCCTTGTAATCTTCTTCCTCGGAATCCTCTGCCTTGGAATCCTCTCCCTCTTCCTAAGAATCCTCTCCTTGGAAAACCTCTCCCTGGATAATCTCTCCCTGAATAACTTCTTGCTGGGTAGCCTCTCGCTCAAAAGCTGCTAGCCAGAAAGCCTCTTCCCGGTTTGTGGAATCCTTTCAAAGTTGATGCAATTTTCGTTGCTGGGGTGTTGGGGACAGCCTCCACAACTTTACTTGTCTTGATCAAGTATCTACAATTTCAGCACCATGAAGATCTGATGTTACCATATTTGGATGTACTTCTAATTTTGGCAATTGGTGCATCTTGCTAAATTTGAAAAATTTCAACAGATTTTTTGAACGAAGATTGCACTGAATTTGTCCAGCTAATACAACTGATTGATGGTATGTAAGTACTGTTGACTGCAGTCTCTCTTTCAATTGTTCTGTTTTGAAGGTATTTAAACCTCATGATAACTCATCCAATTCATAATTGTGTATGGCAAGCATAAGTTGACTTACAGATTCTGCTATTTTTGACTGGATTTTACACATTTTTTCTGGCTCACCCAATGTGTTATCCAAATCCTCACCTGAACGAGTAACTTTCTTCTGAACTAGGAGTTGAATAAATGCATCATCAATATTTGGTGTTTCTAACACATCAGCACTAGGATGCCCTGTTGCGTTTCGTAATTGCCTTTCATGTTGTTCGATCATTGAAGTTTTTAAAGCATATGGTAACAATCTGTAGCATTCAAGTTGTTTTCCTTCATATGTTTGAGGATCCCATTTCTGATATACTGTAGGAACATTGCCCTCCAGTGGGATTTTGACCCAGCTGAATAGCTTTGCTGCATGACTCTCCCTAAATTCGTCTATATTTAAGGTACTCATTGATGATAAAAGGTCTCGCTGTAATTCGGTGGTATTTTTCTGAGAGACACCAAATTGTTCTTGCTCTCGTACTGCAAAAGGAGGGGCAAGACCGACAGTTGGCTCGCATTCAGGAAACTAATAAATTAAAATGTAATAAGTTATTAATACCAGCAATACTTTTTCATAAAAACATAATACACAGAGTGCAAGTTTCACTACTGCCCTGCTGTTTACTTGACAACTTCATTCTTTCTGACTCAAGGCACTTTGCACAACTGTTACAAAGTTCTGCATCTCCAATCTGGTTTTGCTTGTGCTTTTCTTAACCTTGTTAGAGTCTAAACCAACAGTGAGAAAAAGCAGCTCTTGGCTGCATACACCTTTAAAATTATGAATGAACTGAGTTAACTGATTCAGTTAACTGAATGGCCTCAGGTTTCTTGGGTTAGGGAGGAGAGAAAATAAATGGTCACCTCACAATCGAGAGATTCCTGCTGGAACATCTGCTTGGATGTTGAGTGAGGACAGGTTTGGGTTCGGGTTGAGTTCAACCAAGACTGCAATTCAAAGACTGATGTCTGTCTGCTTGCCTGATATAGAACATTTTGAGGTGGGAAATGTGGGAATTCCTAATGGGATTCCTTATAAAGGAATCCAAGCAGAGGCTTCTTCCAATGGAAGTATACAGCAAGCAGGTTGATAGGCGGTTAGGAGGTCGCAGCAGTAGGGGGGAGCAAGTCAATGGAGGGCTTTGAAGGTGAGGACCAAGATTTTGAACTATATCCTCTGTGATGGGAAGCCAGTGGAGTCGGGTAAGGATGGGGGTGACAGGGTTATGGAACCTGGTGCGGGAGAGGACACGGCTACAGAGTTCTGGATGATCTGCAGCCTGTGGAGGGAGGAGTTGGGGAGGCTGACAAGCAACAATCCTGCACCAGGATGATTACACATTCCAATGAGCTTTGATAAAACAAACAAAACACAGATTATTAGTCAGTGTTCGTGCTTACCTCACACATTGCTTTGATCAGCAAGACATCAGTAATCCCAAAGGGTTCAGCCAACTTGATTAGTTCATCATTCGTACAGTTGGTTTGTGGTAATTCACTCACATGAACTACTTGTCCAGATTCATTATCAGTGCTCTAGGAAAGAAAAATGTCAATAATAATGGTACATCTGGTGCAGTATCGATGCAATCTGCTAATTTTTTTAAATAGAAGAGGAAGTACTGGAAGATGGAAAGAATGGCAACAGGAACATGTTCACACATTCATTTCTAGTCATTGAGATCAAACAGTAAGTTCATCAGATACAGTCAAACCTGTTAAAGCAACCACCTCTATTCAGCAACCACCTGTCTAACCCAACCAATGGGCACTCTTTTTCAGTCCTGCCCATCTACTGACAACCTTTTCAGCAACCAATTCTGGTGCTCAGACAGCTGCTCAGTGCTGAGTCTAGTGGGAATCCACACCCGGCCTGCAGAACTTTTGGATGGCGGAAACAGTAATGATTTGTTATTCTAAAAAGAAAATTAATTACATTCAGTCAGTCAGAAGAACCCAAAATTGTGGATGATTAAAACCCTATGTTTTAAAAAATGTATGTAATAGGTTTATTTTGTGGGTGAAAAATCATATAAGTCTTATATTTACCTGCGTTCTGCTCGGTTTGCTTTTTTCAACATCTCTTTAATCCTTGTACTTGGTTTCTGTAAGAATGATTAACAATGAC